TTTAAATACAGCGTTTAAAATATTTTCACATGCAAAATGCATAGGGAGTAGTAAGAGCACAATGGAAAAAAAAAAACAGCCAAAAATGAACCAATGCCTGGGAGGTAAAGCTCATTAAACTTAAGAGTATTTTAATTTTTGGTTTTTATTTTGGGACAAAGTTGTTATTAAGGAGAGCTTCAAATCAGAATTGGATGCCTTTCTGAAAGACATTTCTTAACCAGCAAGTTATTGGTTTCAACACAAAACAACTAGGTGTAATTTCAGAGGCTGTGACTTACAATATGAACTCAAATAGCTTTATTCTAGGAATAAATTTAGTAAATTACTGACTGAATAAGAAGTTAGCAGAGCTGATGGTGTATTTACCAAGGGATATAGGAGCCTAAGTTCTGTATAATCTCTATCCTACTGAAAAAAAAGGCAGAAGAATTTCTCTAATGATAGCTGTGACACACTCCCTGTTTTCTTACCTGTACAAGATATTTGTGTGCATGCTCATAAGTTGGTAAAGCTCCTTCTCCAATCAGCTCTGTATCAAATAATTCTGTTACCAGGATGTTGGCCTGACACTGCATATCTCCATCTAAAATACACAAATTAACATTGTAATGTTATATCTTTACATAAATCATTCAAGAAGATGCTATCCTGAATACACAAAGAATTAAAAAAACTTATTCCTGTTTGAGAGTCTGCTGAAGATTGGAAATTATTTTCCATTTGAAATACAAATGGCTGCTGAGATATTACCAGGACACTTTCTAGAATGTATCCTTAAGGTTGGAGAAGACCTTTAAGATCAAGTCCAACCACTAACCCAGCACCATCACCATGTTCACCACTAACCCAGGTCCTCATGTGCCACATCCACACGTTTCTGAACACTTCCAGGGATGCTGACTCTACCCTTTCCCTAAGCAGTCTTTTCAGTGCTTTACAACCCTTCCAGTGAAAAGAAATTTTCCTACTCTCCAGTCTAAACATTCCCTGGCACAATTTGAGGCCATTTCCTGTCATCCTGTCACTTGTCACCCAGGAGAAGAGGCCAACCCTCACCTGGTTACAACCTCCTTTCAGGCAGCTGTAGAGATGAACCCACCCCAGCTGCCTCAGTGTTCTTGATGCACTTGTTTTAATTAAAAAAATGTTTAGTGTAAGTAAGTAAATGTCAGAGTATGTAAGTAAGAAGTGTTAAAGAATAAGACCTAGTCCTTTATGGTTTTCAGGTACTTGCCTATTTTTTTAAGTCTAGCCTATTTTTCTCACCTGGGCCAACTGTGACTTCAGTGGAATGCTTGTTGATTACTTTGATCTTGTCAGAAAAACCATTTTTCTCCACTATCTTCACAGCGGCATTAGCCATGGGTTTGAACACCTGTGAACAGCAAGAGTGCAACAAAATGGTTCCCCTCAAGTCAGCTTTCAAAAATGGAAAGGCACCAACACAATGCAATATATTTAGTTCCCAAAAAAGATTAACATCTTATCTTTTGCTATGTTTGAAATTCACTACCATGAAAGAAGGCAATGAGGCTCACTTGAAAAATTCAGAGCTTCACTGTTAGTTATCAGCTGCCTCCAAAAGCTACTCCAATTTAACTTTTGAAACACAAGAATACACATTAATACTGCAGCATTTATGTTAAATTAATTTCTTTGTAAAAATAAAGGTATCTATACATGCATCAACAGAAGCCCCTAAAGACTTACACATACTCAAGACACTATGTCAATGAAACCAAAACCCCCAGCACTGAAATACTCACTGAAGTATGCCAGAAACCTGCTTGTATTAACAGTGTAATTGTGAAGAGAATTTCTATTTCATTCAGAACAAAAATAACAGAGATAGTACATAGCCTGAAAATAACAGCATCACAAAGAACATGTTGAATATGTGCAACCCCTAAGCAATGCTCACCTCAATGGCATAGCAGAAATCTGCCCCAGCTGAAGCTGCCATCATGGACAGGAGTCCTGTGCCAGTCCCTATGTCCAGCACAATTGCTTTCTCACCTCTCTCTTTTACTCTGCTCACTGCAGCACAAATACCTTGGTAGTATTTCACGTTCTGTGAAAAGAAAAAATCAGCAACATTTTATCCATTTATGTTTTTAATTTGTGTGCAGTAATCTTGCATTCTTTGATTGTGAGTTTATAATCAGAAAAAGGCCTATATTCACTCTTCATGCCAGTCACACCAAAGCCATCTTCAGCAATAACAACTGCACCTGGCAGAATCAGCCCATTTAAAGTACATCAATATTTATCACAATGTTTATTATTATATTACCACTGGCCAATCAGCTGTGTATGATTTCCAAATGTGATATATTTTCCTGAGCAAATAATAATCAGATCCATGGGAGATACTACAGGTTTTCTGATTAATTTTCCCCTGCAGGACCAGTCAAATAGTCATATTCTCTCCATGGCAGTACAAGAGCTGAAGTATCTTGGTTTAGATTCCTCTCTTCATCTACTCAAAAAGGTTCATACATGAGAATTAAACCAGTGTCAATCCTGGTTTTTGGTTACAGGCCATTAAATGGAGCTATAAGCACACCAGCATCAACAACAGGGAAAAAAATGCTGTCAGCCACAAGATACAGATTGATATATATGCTTTTATTTTCTTTATAACTACCTACTCTAAGACATTCTTTTGCAAATGATTTATCAAGCCTTTCCAAGGAATACACAACGTTTGAACATTATACATTTGGAAGGTCTGCTGGACCCCCTTCTCAACAATTCTAGTCAACAACTTTGATACATATAATTCCAGTAGCTGTTTTAATCACTCAGACACAACCAGCTGCCTCTACACAGTTTATTAAATGCCTGATCCCACTGACGTGTTTTAATTCAATATGAATTCCAGATTTATTGTGGAGGCACCACAAAAATCTTTCAAAACGTTATTGATGGAAGGCTTACTTAATGGCTAGAGGAAAGTGAACATTTGAACTATTCACTCCAGACTTCACCATGCCTGTACACATGGTAGAAACACCACAGAAAAATAGACTTTACTTATACTCCTATAAAAACTAAAGCCCAGCTTCACTTTTATAGCCTTTGAAATGTCATCTAATGAGCTCTCTGTCAAAAATGTCAAACACAGAACAGCAAAATTGGCTAGTGAATATAAAAATGTTCTGCAGTAAACAATAGAACACTAAAGTCAGATGTAAAAAGGCATCTGTTGATCTAAGAGCAGGTCTGGTACCTTACAGAGCACAAAAATGTGATCATTTAATCTTCCAGAGAAATGCATATAATCATACAGTGACAGCTATTCAGGAGAAATACAATGACTCTTTTCCCACCATTCAAAAGGGTTTTGCTTCTGTACTTACTCTGTCCTTATCATGAAGCATATCTGCATAGCGTGACCTGCAATAAAAGACACTCCAGTTAAAATACTCCATTCTGCAAAGCAACTGGTCCCTGTGCCCCACAAATGCACAAACTGACACACTCTTTGAGGACCTAAACTGCTTCTCTAATCTAAGGGATTAAACTACATTTAGTTTCAGTGATCTGGCCATCAGCACATAAATCAACTCATGAACCACTGGCACAAATCCTCTCCACAGCAATGGACCCAAGCCACAGACAGACCTACGGACAAGCAGCTGTGAAGTAGCACCTCAGACACACACAGAGTCTGAGACACATACAGAGCAATGAAAGACAGACTTTTTTTTTTCTGGCCATCAGCACATAAATCAACTCATGAACCACTGGCACAAATCCTCTCCCCAGCAATGGACCCAAGGCACAGACAGACCTACAGACAAGCAGCTGTGAAGTAGCACCTGAGACACACATAGAGTCATACAGAGCAATGAAAGACAGACCTTTTTTTAACTAAGACTTAAACTTCTTTGGTTCCCATTTCTTCATGGGTTGCACTACTCAAAAATATGCAAAATAGATCTCACCTTCTCTGGCTATTACACTAAGCTCTTAAAAAGCAAGAACAGACAACTGCCAGTTACATGTTGCACTGGCATTTAAAAGCAATTTAGTCAATGCATTTTGTCCCAACTCAGTCACTATCAGTATCAGGATCAGCCCCACAGAAAACATTTTTAAAAAGTTAGAAGGAAACTACTTGGAGAATGATTTACAATATTCTAAATTGACAGCTCTGTCCTGTACATCACTGGGCACATCTACAGTCTGTTCACCTCATGCCCTTGGAAGTTCTACAAAGACAGACCCCCAAACTGCCCTTTAAAAAAATCTTGGATTTGGTCATTTTTTAGTGTCCTTTAATGGAATGAGCCACTTTTCCAAGCATACCTTGCAATCTCCTGGTGGTAGTCATAGTCCTCACCCTCTTCCAGCCACTCCATGGAGCCAGTGGTTGGATTGGCTCTTCCACAAAAGGTCTTCATGATCAATCTCAAGCTTTATTGTAATATTTATGTATTGTGTGCAGCTTTGCTTCAATATAACACACAAAATACTGTCTGTGAAAAAAACCAAACCAAAACAACCATAAATCTTTTAGTAAACACAAGTACCATTTAGCTCTTGTACATTTCCCCCACTACATCCGCCTTGACCAGAAGTACTGGTGACAACTTTATGCTTTTTTCGTAAGGACGTTTTAAGCTAAAATCTGTCACCTAGCCCTACAGTGAAAGGGGACCCTTTAGATCCTCCAGGTGTAACCCCTGAGAACACAGCGCAGCAAAGAAACCAAGACAGCAGTAAATCCTCGTGAAGAGCATCCCGTAAGTGGGTCAGGCCGCGGCGGCTCCTCTCCCGCAGTCCCCACAGCGGGGAACCGGCACAGGCCCGGACCTTCCCGCCTCAGGACCGAGCTGCGACGGGGCACGGCCAGAGCGTTCTCCGCCATGCCCCGCCCGGACCCAGCGCAGCGGGCCCGAGAAGCTGCGGGCTCGTCCCCCCTCAGAGCCCCAGGCCGGCAGCTCCGCCAGCCGTGCGTACCTCCCCCGGACACCGCGAGTGCCCACCGCGAGCACCGCGTGTGCGCCCGCCCCGGATGCCGCGTGTGCCTGCCCCGGACACCGCGTGTGCCCGCCCCGAGCGCAGCCCGTGCCCGCCCCGGCACCGCGTGTCCCGTCCCGGACAGGGCGGTCGCTCCCTCTTGCTGCGCGTGCGGCGGAAGCGCGGCGGCCCCGAGCCGGCCGAGGCGCTGCTGCTGGCCTGCAAGCGGCGCCGCGCCGAGCCCGTGGAGACCGACCTCTTCAAGCTGGTGGCCACCGTGTCCTCCAAGGTACTGGGCGGGCCGGGCGGGCCGGAGTGAGCCGGTGCTTCTGGAGGGGTTCGGAAAGCAGCGGCTGTGTCTGGCTGCTGCTCGCGGTCTTTCGGGGCTCCCCTGTGGGTGCGGCGGTCTGGAGGATAGCCCGGCCCCGGGCAGCGCCGGTAACCGAGGCACGGCGGCTCCTCCCGCGCTGTGACAGCCGCGGGCCGGGCGGGAGCAGAGCCACGGCCCACAGCACGCAGTGACCCCCGCGGCAAGCTGTGCCCAGCACTCGCTTTTCTACACTGAGACACTCTTCCTCGCTTGGAAACTACAGAACAGTCCATAAGTGAAGCTTGAATTTCTGCTGTGTGAGATGCTGAAGCTCAGCCCTACAAGGATAACAACCGCCATCCAGCTTTAGGTCCGTTGCAGTCTTCCAAAGGCATGTGGTTTCGTTTGGAGAACTATTCTGTACCAAGAAGTTGTTTAAAAATCAAATTGAAACAGTCTTAGGACTTCTGTTCTATATCTTGTGCTTTTCTCCCCTCATAACAAGAGATTGTTATGTTGCTTAAAGTAATAGTAGAAGTTACTTGAATGTTGTTAGGATTATTGGTACTGTGGTTCTTCGTCCCTTCTAAGAAGGAGTATGACTTTCTGTGTGGATGTTATCGTTATGTTCCTCCTCCTTTTTGTTCTTTTCTCCCAGGATGAACCGGTTCAGAAGTATGTTAAAGATGCCATCACGCGGGACAGGGCAGCTCAGAGCCTGCGCCCCTCTTCGGGAAGCAGCCAGCGAATCCTTCAGGAGCTGCGTTGTGCCAAGCAGGCGCGGAGGAAGGAGAACCGGTACCGGGTGATTTCCAGCCACCGGCCCCACTGCACCCACACCGCTGCCCCTGCTGCCCGCGGCCAGGCTGCGCCCCACGGGGACAGGTCTGAGCCTGAAGCACTGCAGGATGCCTCACCAGAGGAGAGTGGTGCTGCGGATAAGAGTTCAGACTGCTGTGGGAAATTCCAGCTGTTCGATATTGTACAAGAAGAGGAGACAGTGGGAGATTCCAGTGTAACCACTGCAAACACACAGGTCAGCTATGAACTTATTGGACTTGAAGTATTTGGTATGGCTGTTGAGTGGTACATGTGGGCAGACTGCTGTAGGAGTTTTCTTGGACTGTAAGTATTCCACTATTTAATAGGAACTTTAACTAGATTGCAAGTTGGAATGTTTCATGAGGATCCTAAGGGCACTAATGTTGAAACAGACAGTGTGTGGAGCTGCTGCTTAAGGAAGGGCTTGTACCACCCTATTTTTTCTTTGCCCTGGTCTGATGTACAAATTCTCTTTTCATCTGAAAACTATTGGCTGTAAATAAGACTTTGCGTGACTTTAGTGGAAATACTCATTTTTTTTATTTTTTCTCAGCAGAAGACTGATCCAGATGCAATTCTCTGCAATGCAGTAGAGATGATCCGTGAACGTTTAAATGTTTCTGAAGATGGTAAAAAAGATCATGGTCACAAAGAAGATGAGTATGTTTATGACATCTACTATAAGGAAACATCAGCCCCTGACTGGATTGAAAATATCCTTTCTGTACAGCCCTATAGAGAAGAATATGAATTGGTAAGGTTGTGGAAAAAACAATCTTTCTCAACTAGAAAGATCACAAATAAAAGATGTTTAAAGTCCTGCTCTCAAAAGCTGCCATACCAAGAAGTCCTTTAAGGTAGACACTACATGTAAGCTCAGTGACTTCTGTGTTAGGCCGTTTGTAACTGCCAGTCCCATATTCCTGCAGGTTACTGTTGATCCCTGGACATCATATGACAAAACTGAAGGGATGATGCTCATGTAATGAGAAGAATCTGTCTGGTTTCAAACTGCCAATTAAATTTTGGCACACAAAAAACTTGAGTAATTTATGTCATGCTTGCAGTTAGGAGGCAGCCAGGAAAATGTCATTGTAAATATGACTAAATAAAAAGAAGAAGGGGTGACACACACAACCTTTACAGTATTTGAGGACTTGACTTTAGTCTTCATATGAGATATTTTTTCATAATAAATTGTTCTTCAGTAACTGTAGAGTTAGGAAGTTTAATGTAAGGTTTAGTTTTGTGTTGTATAGTTCCTTGATCAACAGACTTGTATATTAGAAGCCTGAAATGACTTTCTCTCTTCCTTGATCTATTACACTACTGCTGGAGTGAGTAGGATTAAGCTAGACATGAACTTTGAAATGCTGGAGTGGAACATATACATGTATGACTTCACTGATTGTTCACCTCAAGCAGATTTGAAGTGTTGTGGTGAATGCAGTGACAACTCCAATTCTTCTGCAGTGTGCCCTGTGTCACTGCAGAATTCCTTCTGCCTGCCATCTGTATGTATTTCCTGGCCTTTTCTGGTCTGTACAGTATTGCACAGGTGGATGAAAACTCACTTAACATTCATTATAAACACAGACACCCAGCATTATGTTTTGTGTTGACGTGCAGGTAAATGATGATCCTGGTCCAGAGGAAGTGTATGAAGATGAAGATGATGAAAATGATGAAAATAACTGGCGTAATGATTATCCTGAAGAAGATGAATTCTTACCCGAAGAAGATGGAGAAAAAGGTACACCTGTTGTAAATGCTGTTTGCTTTCCTGCTGTGCATGTATACATCCCCTCTTTTTTACATGCTATCCCTAAAAAAGCAACTTAACTGAGAACTGCTAGGGTAACTTCCTGCTCTTACAATGGTGAAATGTGCGTAGAGGAGGATTATCTTTCTTGGAACTAGAAGAGAAATTAGTGTTTATAAAAAAACAAAATTGAGAAGTCAAATTGAGGCTACTGAAATTGCAAAGGTTTGCTTGCTTAGAGAAGGAATCCATTACTTGGGTTCACATGCAGTGAAACACTGCCTCTGCCTTCTGAAGTCCCTAGCCCAGAGTACTTCAAGCACAATTCAAGCCTCAGCTCGTACAGAAGTTGTTCAGACTTCGTTAGTTTCTCAAGAAGCTTAATCTAGTCTGACTCACTTAATTTTTTAAGTAAAAATAAGGGATAATCCAGAAGTGTTGATGCTTTCTCTGCAGACTCTGAAGAGAGCTTCAGTGATGAGGACCAATGTTACAGGAGAAGAACATGGGACAAATATCGACAGGAGGTTTTGCATGAATTTGGATATGATGAGATTGAAGATCTGGGTTCTGACTAACAGGCTGGTTTTGGAGATGAAATGCATACTGAAAGTGAACATTTGCTGCTGTAGGAGAATGTACTATCTGAGCAGCCAGCTTCAGCTGGTGGATATTAAACAGATGGGTGTGACCTTGGCCACTTGACAACACAATTTTTTTTCCAACCATAAGATGCTCTATACTTTAAAATAGAATATTCCACCCATTGCATGTGTTGAGGTTTTGAAGGGACCTTTTATTTATTTCTGTTTTCCCAAAGCTGCATGCCCAAGAGTTTGTACCTGCAGGAAATGTACAGATATGGAGGTACTGTTGGCAGCAGCCCTTCTGGTCATGTCTAATACATCAGGTTTCACAAGAAGACCCATGTGTCTGCCCTGATGGCAAGTGGGAGTCCTGGAAGGCATCCTACCCTACTGCTTTCTACTTAATTTGTTCCTAAATGTCAAGTGACTTTCTTCTCAAGTGTTTGAGCATATGAAATGCCTTGACCTGTCCATTACTCTCCCCAGTAGTTTTACTGTTGGAGTAGAACAATGTGAATTTAAATTGTAAATAAAATTGCTTTTTGACCAAGTTTTCTTTACTCATTTAAAGATCACAGAAGTTGGTACAGCTGAACTCAGGTCACCATTTTAATTTGCATTTGTACATCTTTAAAACAATTCCATTGTACTTGTTTGGACACATGAAGTGTTTCAGCACTCTCCTACTTGAGTCTGTAAAAAACAGCTGATAGGATTAGCTCTTAGCTGGTCAATATCATTCATGAACAGGAGACTGCAGCAGTACTTAGGCCAGTCAGTCTTGACTGGTAATAACAAGGGAGTAGAGGCAAGGTATTTTTGTTTGCTTCAGAGAAAGGTTAACATGGCAGTGCAAAAATTCCAGTATCCTCACTATTATTCAGGTCACTGATGCAACTGTGGTGCACCCTCTGAAGTGTGTATTGCTTCAGCCATGATCTTGTAATTACAAGATTTAGTTCAACTTAAAAGCACAAAACCATACATCTGGCCAAACTCAGGTCAACTGAGACAGACAGAAAGTAAAAATCTCAGGTATGTTTTTGAAATACATCTCACTTTGCCAGACAAACAAGCTTCTTGTTGCCTTTTGTTGCAGAATTCAGTATCAAAACTGTCCTGATTTAAGGCTTACAGCTTTGGAATTACATAGACTATGAAGCAGCATGTACATGCTGCAGTAGCACCTTTACTTCTGTTTTTATTTCTAGTTTTTCTCCCTGCTACTTAGCTGTCAAGATCTAGTATCTGCCACAGAAATTCTGCTATAGAAGGAAAAAAAAACCTGTGGTTTCTGGGAGGTTTTAGATGGTCACTTTCTAGTGAACAGCACTGAAATTTATAAACAGAATTTTCTGACTGCTGAGGTAACTCAGTACTGTCTTCACTGAAACAGTTCACAAACAAATGTTTACAGGCTTCAAACTGAATGTTTTAATTTTGGAAGTTCCGTAAAACCTAACAGTAATTTACAAAGTACTAACAAGTAAACAAGAAAAAAATCAACCATTAATCAAATCTTCAGTGGCAAGGTGCTTAGCTGATTAAATCCTTCCCACAGTCAGATACATTTCCATGTAGCATAGAGAATAAAATCTTTAAGGGGAGAAAGGTTGTTTCAGTCTATAAATAATGGAGCAGAACTTAATTTATCATTAGGGGCAGAAAAACAAATGAAGTAGTTTGTTGTGACCAGTTTTCTTCTGGGAAAATAACTGAGATAGTACAGCAAATCATTTCATGCAAGCATCCATCAGAATTAAGCTGGAAATGACTTAGTCTTTGGAGTCAAAGTGGGTTTCAGTCTGACGTAATAATGCATTACTTCACCACCTGGTTCTGCAGAAATCTAATTTGATCCATTAGCTCTTACCATTTTCATACCAATTCTGAAGAAGAAACAGTATTGACACACAGCTTGTGTGAGTAGGTAATGAGTAGGTAATCATTATCCAATGAAAACCTGCCCTGAAAACATGCCACAGTTTAGGAGGATGGCACAAGGGCATGATCCACGTTGGAATCCATCTGCAAGTAAGAACACTTTCAGCATTTCTGAAAGACCACTGAAAACAGTTTTTCTGTGTCTTCCAGTTCCAGCTCTTCCCTTTCATTTGTGTAATTGCTTTATACTCCCTCCTGCTTCCTGTAATGGCTTTAAACTTTACTTGGATTTGATTTCTGGTTTCTTTTCGTCATTTGGGTCCACCTCTGTTAAAACACAGTAACAGAGCAGCTGAATGTTTCGTGTGACAGCACCTGCAGAGAAATTGGAGACAGATTAGAACAACAGCCACCTATCTCAACTCTGATTACAAAACACATCTGACTAATGAAAGCTGACAGGAATGCTGTCCACTTCTCTTTAGGGAAACAAAGAATAAAAGCTAGTACAATAACTGTGTCCCACTCAGGTTTAACAGGATCTTAAACTGTTCTGTTGATATCCTAGGGTGTTCTGCTTCTTAGGCAGAATCCTGCCAAGTAAATGAAGTAAAATCTTTTTTCTCTATAATTAAGAGCGTAAAATTGGTGGAATAAAGAAAGCCAAACTAATAGCACACAGGAAAAGCTACAACATTATTGGGTATTTACATATGATCTACTACTGCAGCACCACATCCTGCTTTCAGGGTAAGGTTGTGCTATAAATCTTCCTCACCACATCCTACATCATGGCTGTCTCACATGGTAACAATAACAAAAGAACACCGATGGAGAAAAGTTGAAATTTGTGTAATTTAACTGCTGTAATTCAACAGAAGGCAAAATTCCATTCTTTACTGACATAAAATCTATTTTCAAATACCTGATTCAGTAAAGCTGGACAGTTTGTGCTACCAAAAATGTTCACACTTCTTACAGTCATGAATCTTGGTTCAAATAAAGACTTTTTCCTGATGTTCTGGCTATTGCTGAACAGTGTTTGCACAGTATCAAGGCTTCTTTTCTTTCCTCTTACTCCTCTCTTCCTGCAGCTGGCAGGATGGGAGAGGGCAGGAAGTCTGGCAGGAAGATGGCCAGAGCAGCTCACCCAAACTATGCAGAGGGGTATTTCATGCTATCTGATGTCATGCTCAGCAACAGAAATGGATTGAGCAAGAAGTGTTTGCTTGTGGCAGTGTTTTCCCATACAGCTGTTGCTTGGAGACTGGCTGCACACTGGGCTGCCTGTGAAATGTGTGACTGATTGCTCTTGCAGCAGCAGGGCTTTTTCCCCTCTTCATTACTAAACTTTATTTGACTTGACCAGCAGGTCTTCCCACCTTTGTTCTTCCTGTTCTGTCCCTCGTGCTGCTGGGGGTGCTGATGAGCCAGCCCTGGGTACTCAGCTGGGTCAGCCCACCACAGCCCTTTCCATCAACAGACCAAGAGTCACTCACTTTCTTTTCCTCTTTCCTAACAACATCTCCAGCTAACAAAGAAACTTACCCATAATCTTGTTAACAAATCGAGGTCTCCTTGATGCAGGTAAATAGACTCCCAAGAAAAAGAATGGAATTCCAGATAAAGCAATAGCAATTCCAATCACTGAATTTATAAAGTCACTATAGAGTGGCACTACCACCAGAAATATTGTGCATATACAGAATATTATTGGGAAAGCCAGACTCAGCTGCAGACAAAGAAAAGAGAACACAATGTTAATGAAATATTCACTGTCTATAGTTACAAACATTATGATACAGACTTTTCTCTCTGAAACCCCCTTTGTGGAATTCTTTGCTCTTCCTCTCATATATCTGGCTATTTAGGACCATAAGGAAATGCAGAATTATTCTTAACGGAACTGTTGCTAAATTTTGCAAAAGAAATCAAGTATGGTAACTCTGCTGTGCTGAAAGAAAGTGCATAGTGGTATGAAGTGTTTTTAGACACAACCAGTAAAACTTGGGAAACAAGAATTACTGACTTTTTTGAATAGAGTATCAAAGTAACAGGTTAGAGGATCAGATACCATTGGAGCTAAAGGTGACCCACAGAGTTACTTAATTTGAGCATTTCCAATCAATTGAGGGAAGCTGTGCTGTGTGTCCCATCTAATTAGTTGAAAAGAAAAGCAATAACTTGCATTGAAGAGCAGAGCTGGCACGGGTGTGAACCTCTTCATGTGGATCATAGACAACAGATCAGGAAGGTGACCTTCCCGAGATCCTACAAAAAATAGCCTGAAAAAAAGCAGTAAAAGACATGTTGAGACCACAGGCAAGAGAGAATAATTACAGAAAATCAAAGATTAACACCAGTCAAAATAAATATTTACAACACTGAATTTCTGTGCTTTAAACTGGAACCTTCTTATAAAGATGTACTGTACAACAACCATTGAAAAGGTAGGCAAGTGTTTAGAAAAAGCTGTTAAGAATCATTTTTTTAAAAAAAATCATCCTACAGTTAAATTAGGCAATATCTACAGTAACTGAAACAAATTTCTATTGTTTCACAAAATTCTAAAAGCTAGCACTGAAAACATTCCAGCTTAGGGAAGAATAGTTTTCAATGCCAACCAGAAGAGATTGCCAGGTCCCTAAAATGATGTCACTCAACCACATGCTCAAAAAACAAACAAACACAATTTTATTACCAACTGTTCTATATTGACTGCTTCACCAAATGATCATATTTCTTGTCAACAGAGGCATTGCAAATTCATTCAATGGATAGGAAGAATATTAAAATGCCTGAATAAATCTATTTAAAACTTTTGCTAGTTACCTCCACAATCAGTGCTCAAAGAAAAGGTTCTACACAGTAACCTAAGCTTTTTGATTGCAGCTTCATAGCTGTAACAAGTTTTTTAGGGTTTTTCCAAGTACAAAGTTTTAAAATACTGATTTTAAAAGGTCAGTAAGTTTTAGATAAATACATTTGAAAACAAAAACATGCTAGAATTAGTCTATCAAGTAAAATGGAATGTAATGCAAACGATCAGAAGGCCTGAGGACTCACCACACAATCAAAATTCATTTGACTTTATAATTATGCTCTGCATACACTCAGGAATGCTTTGGGGAAACAAGGCAGCATTAAGGGTGTATGTACAGACACACACAGACGTTTATTTAGATCTGTGGTTTTATTGTGGCTATTCATGATAGGTTCAATTAAAAAAAGTATTTTTGCCTCTCTCACAATAGATCAGCACAACAGTAACGTGTAAAAAGACTTATGAACATTTGTCAAACTGAAAGAGATAAGCACTACCTTGATGATGCTAGAATTGAAGCATTAAGTCCACCAAAGCAAGAAAAGGCTACAGCAATGGGAATTGTCCAGCTGAACATACCAAATACCTTGTCAGCAAATGTCTGATGAAAGGGAAAAGAAAAGGAAACATGAAAACATCTGCAAAAAAGAATATGTAAAACAGTGACATCAGAGCTTTTCTAATACACTTGTATGCAAAAATAGTAACATAGTAAGGACAGTACATAATGCAGCACAAGGAATCACACAGCTGTCTTATTTATTTATGGACTCTAAATAAGCACAAACTTCTTTAGCCAAGCATCTGAAGTCATATTTTCTGCTCATAAAGGAAAATAAAACGTTTTGAGAATTTTCTTCCCAATCCTAATATATTTTATTATCTAACTGACCTACAGAACACAAGTGAACATTCTCTGGATTACTAAAAATATTACCAAACAGTGAAGTGCCATTGCAGTGAATAACCACTGCCAACATCACAGCTACTGTTCACAGATTCTATTCTAGGAATCTACTTTAATTTCCTTTTTTTGCAGTTTCCTAAGCAATATCTTTTCCTTTAGCTCCACTGGCAGGGCCTCTGGACTCCACTCTCACAACCTGGCAAATAACAGAGCAAGTGATCTTATCACTTGCTCCATACTTGATGTTGCTAGACAATAGTGCAAGAAACTGTGGTGACTGTCCATGGTAGAGCTCTGAAACCAAGAAGTCAGGAGCATCAAAGTTTCATATCAGGTGGTAAGAGCCACTGATTGCCAGCAATCTTGGCTCTAAAACAAAAATGGGTAATAATTTGCAATATACTGTCCTGGTCTATTCTGCTCAACTTCCTGGATGGAGAAAAAAGGCAGAGAGACTTAAAGTATCAGATAACACACCTGAAACATGAAGAAATTTAATTCACACAGACTGACAGGTATGCCACCTCCCATCTTGGCCTGAGCACTGTACATATCTGGACACCAGCATGGAGTTAGGCAGAAATGCCCTCAGGTTGTGTTCAGAGGATGTGGGTGGAAGCCTTCCTACCCATCCCATGTCTACCTACACATAACAAAATCACTTCCATCTTTTTTTTTACAGAAGCAAACTAACAGTCATAGTAGCAAAAGAATCATATCCACATTAGACAGCATTAAGTCACTATTTAAGGAAACAGAAAGGTACATATTCATGTATAAGTAATATTCAAACAAAGGTTTGAACATTTCACATCTTAGAAGCAGCAGTAATCTAAATCTTTTATGAACTTTTCTCTAAATCGCTTTCTTATGTCTCTCTTGCTTTATAAATTTCAAGATCCTCAGACATAAAAAGCATAGATAGTAATTCAGCTTTCTGTAGGTCTGTCTATTATAAAAATTTTCTTCAGTTTTAAGTATTTTAATATTTGTAAACACCTTGCCCTTGATCTCCCCCTCAACGCACTGGTCTTAATCATAACATTTATAAGCTAAGAAGCTCAATCAAAGGTGATAAACACTCAAAACTGGCCTTTATCTGTATCATATTAAGTTATCTCTATTTAACAGTGGTCAAATTTTGATGTAGTTACTCCACGAATCAGATCATCAATAGCAGTGCATTACAATCTGTTTTCTTAATGCTTTTGTAGGTCAAAAAAGCCTAAAAGACTTAATATAGTTGGTTTGGTGTTTTTTTTTTTTTTTTTGTTACATCAGTATTTCATTTTCATGAGACAAAACCCTATAAATAATGTCAATCTTTAGGCCACAAGATGCTGAGAAATTCACTGGCATAAACCAAGGCTTGGGGAGCTGTAGTTTCCTGTTCTTTGTCTGCACTGAAAAAATGCTTTGTCCAGCACATTATCCAGATTATGGAGCAGAATCCAATTCTGCTGTGCTCCCTCATTAACACTAAAAAGCAGAATATATTCCATCCTTTTGTGCAATTTAGTTGAGCCTCAAAGGCAGACAGGATTTCCTGCTGCTAAAGGACAATGCAAAGCCACATAATCACAAGGGAACTTTGCCTAAAGGCTCAGAGTCAATGCATCAACTGTGTCACCCTGGTTCTCAGAAAGGCACCTCTCTTCCTGAGCTATTTTAGTTTATCCATCTTAGCACAGCTTCCCTCAAAATGGAGCTTCAACATGGGTGGAAAAATGCATACAGATTCCTAGAGATATTATAAAAAATAACATGAGAAAAGTATAAAATAACTAGTCCATGTACATACCTACTTCATGCTGAAATCAGAACATCAATTTAGCAAAAGGCCATGCCATTAGAAATGTGTTCTGTATACCATGGATTACATTTCCAGCCAACTGAAACTGCAACTAATAATTTACATTATTGTATATAAAAGATTTCTGCTGCTCAAGACTAAATAATCCCTAAAACCTGAAGTGCTTCTCTCAGGTCCTTACTGCATCTAAATGCAGCTCAGAGAAACACAGTCCCCTGAAGCAGAATGTAATTTATTATGATCCACTCAATGAATTAAGATAACTCCTCCAGAACAAGAATGAGGACAAGATGAAAATTCCAATAAGCAACTGTTGTAATATTTTAAAGGAATATTTAAACCTAAACTTCTGATTTCTAAAGCCAAACAATAAGTGAAATTACCAGACACAAAACTCCTGGAGGATATTTTGTTTTAATATATAAAGTTAAGATACAGAACAAGATGTTAGAGAATTAAGATGTTTAGTAAAATTGCCTAAGGGATAAGCATTTAGATAAGTAATATTAACTGCTGAAGCTAAAGAAGAAAGAAAAAACCTATTAATGCAGTCTTATGCTGAAGGATGCAAATTAGCTAATATACCATTTGGAGAAATATCTTCCCCCCAAAGATGTTCTTTGCAAACATTTTCTATTTTCTTTTGAAACATCTGGTAATGAGCCAGTGTGAATGACAGGTGCAGGACTAACTCACAGGCTATTTCCATACTGTAATGTGTATCTAATTGTTCTAGGAGATGCTAATACTGTTCCACATGTGTTGGAAAACAACAATCATTCATATGAACAGTAAGAACCACAAACTATAAACAGACCAAAATGCTACAGATTCAATGTGTTCTGGATGCAGGCTGTGTTCTACACCAACTGTTGATCCAGCTCAAAGCCTAAATAAGTGATTTCCCCAGAGCTGTACAAGTCAGACTCTTCAAAAAAGAGAGTAATGTAGTGACAATCTCTACCAAACACTGTCACTTCCAATGCACTTTATAATGCTGTAGTTGGGATTCCTGACAGAGCAAAGGGTGGAGAAACTTCAAGAGCTAAACTTGAGGTGAGGCAATACAAATGACTATTTTAATTGAGAATCATCTAAAAAAAGTTCAGCTTGGTTTGCCAAGTAGATCTGCCTGCAAAATGATCTTTCAGCAAAACAAAGTTGAAAGGTACCTGAAGTTTGCCTAATCTATGTATTGAGATTAATCAGCTTAACACGAACATGAAGACCCACCTGCTTTAGGCAGGCATTTTGTGACAGTTTCACCTTCATTTATAACAAAAATCAGCCAAGTTCATTACTACTACTCAGACACTTGATTTATTGAAGGATTTATAAATCCTTCAATACCCTCCTTCCAACAGATGCCAAGTTTAAAATGTCTTCTTTAAAGCTCAGCTATAGTCTCTTGTGAACAAAGGCAAACCAAAAGATCTCCACAGCATTTCTTGCTAAAAGAGTTACTGAAGTCTAAGTAAATGCAGCCACAAGAAACATTCACTGCATGCATATCAGAGGATTATTTTGCATAAGAAGGCAGGGTAGAGAAAAGTACAACATGAAATCAAGCTATCAAGCACACACACTGAGTGCACTGCACCAAGAAGGGAAAGGGGAAGGGAATAGTAGAAGAGTTAGTGGTTGCTTTCTGCTAAAACCACAACTGTACAATCATGGATCCTCCACAAATGAGCCAGACCTGGGCTCTGAGCTGAGCTCCTCGCCAATTCTACTTTAACTACCACTACTTCTGGGAGATGTGAAGTGCATTTATAAAAACAAACGAGCTGGCAATGGAGGAAAGAATAGAGCATTCACAAAGGTATGTGGAGGATGACAGAGGAGCCTACCTGGAGGCAGCTATAAGCAGAAACATTTAGTCCACCATAACAGGAGAAAGCCACCACTATGGGGATGGATATCATCTCAGGATTCTTCTGAGAAAGTCTAAAGAGCAAGAAGGATTAAGAGATTAAATTGTCATCTCTGCTATAGTCTGACAAATCCTGTAGTCCAGATTTGAATTATAACTGCTTCTAACAGCTTGGAAACAGAGAATTCAGAGAAGTGCTGATGTAACACTTGCAATTACAGATACAGTTCTTTTATGCCCTCCCATCCATTGAGTATGTAAGGTATACATAGATACACGCACACTGTAGGACATGCACCTGGAACTGTTCCCTTTAGTTTTGGGGTTTTTTTCAAACCAACATCAGGTATTAATGAAGGAAAAGGCTCTCCAGCCATGCACTTCTCAGCTGAACTGCGCTTATTCAATCATGACTAAAATGTTACATTGCTCCCAGAAGAATGGTTAAAAACTGAATTACAGCTTTGTTTCAAGGCATGAATGACTGAATAAACTACATTTTATTTTTGTCTTGAGTTAGTTTGATCTCATGATCATCAGCTGGTAAGTTGTGAATGGTTTGCAAGAACACTTTTTTGTCCTTTTAAAGGTCCAAACAACAGTTCTATACAAACAGGTTGAACTAAAAGCAGCAGAAATTCCAGCATCAAGAGCTGCCACAGCAAAATACACAGGATGCTGCCTCACACTCAGTAATTCAGGCACACAGATGAGTAGCAAGACCCACATTCACATTACAAAGCACAAGATGAGAACTGTTTCACCACACTTGGCTGCACATTAGAAGTGTACTTAGAGGCACACAAGAAATGTCAGACTACACTGAGAGCATATGGAGCCACAAGCACATGTGAGGCTGGCAAAGCACCACACAGTATTGATTGGAGGGACAAATGGAGAAAGGCAAAGAGAATGTAGCCTAACATGAGTAAGAAACTTATATAAAAAAATATCCAAGGATTATGAGGTGTTTCTATTTGGAAAGTTTAAAAGGCATCTACAGAGCCTCTTCATGTAACTCATTTCAAGATCCTATTGCCAAGGAGCTTTTCCAAACCAATTTCTATTAACATTCTTACATGAAAATCATACAGAGCAGTAAGGGGACATATATGAATACACACACACACACACACACATATATATATCTGTGAGCCATCTGACTGGTATTTTGGAAACACAATTAATTCTGCTTTGACATTTCTCTTGAGGTGAAGTATAAATACATTCACACACTTCAGGACAATCTGACAGTCAGAACTACAGTATGTTTTTTTAATTTTGAGCTTTGGAGGACACTAAGGTGCTATTGCCTACCAGAAACAAACTCTTGATTTACGGCAATCTGGAAGCTGCACATGCAAAAAAAAAACACCAGAGCAGAAGAAGTTTTCTGCCACTGCCATAGATTACATTGTCAGGATACTGTATGACATCTCTCCTCACTGACCAAATTAGATTTAATATCACATATATTAAAAGAAACGAAAGAGTGCCCATCAACCAAACCCATAAAATGGTAAAGGTGCAAAAGAAAACAATTTAAATGTGTCTTTTGTAATTCTTGTTTCAATTACCATGCTGTTGATCAATTCTACTCAAACAGATATAATTCTCTTGTTGTATTATTGGCAACACCTTTACTGGGAGAAAAAGGTACCAGAGTGCAGTAAGAAGTCCAGCATAAAATTCCCACTTCATGTTTAGGTCACTGAATACAATCTTATGGCAAGAGAACCAGCACTACTCTGCTGCATTAATACACTGCATTCCTATTTGCATGTAAGATGTCTCTTCTGTACAGCCCACATTAAAATTTCCAATGTCAGCTCCAACAGTAAAATAGCTTCATTTACATTTTCATGGAGGTGCTGAAGATATTTGATCTAAACCTGCTCAGGTGTTTATCCTCTTCTTAGCATCTCTCATAGCTAGCTGTAGAACAAGGGTTCAGTGTTTCCCAAGTCTCTCACTCATCTCATACTGAAAATATAAGATAGCATTCTCAAGTTCAGCTCAGCTTCTCAGCTGGGGCTCCAAAGCCAGAGAACTTCCACGTAGCTGCCATCAGGAGTGTTGCATTGGCAGTGAATTACAGCTAGCTCCAAGAAAGAGGGCAAATAACTTACTGAACAACTCTCCCTCTAAAAGCAACTGCCTGCCCCTAATGAAGAGTTCTTCAGTTTTAAGGTATGGAATGTGCTCCTCTTCATCCAAGGAAACCTTACTGGGAAGTGCCCATGCAAGCAAAGAAGAGGAACATGACACTGATGGCTAAGGACAAGCAGATTTTCTTTTTCAGAAAAGAAGCCAGTGAAGCCAATGAAGGAAGAGAAGTAATACCCAAAAGGTCAAAGAAGAACTTTAAAATTTCTGTCTGAAATCAGTTACAAAAAAAAATACTCAACATTTATTAAACTACTCCAAAGAAGAATAAAACAGCTAAAACACACAGCCTCCCACATTCCAGTTCATTGAGGGAGCATGGCAAAGCAAAGCAAGCCTGCTCCAGAATATGAGAGCACCAGGGTGAACTGATGGACCTGCACTGGACTCACAGGATGACACTCAAAGATGCAACTGAAGTCATCCTCTTTATCCCCAGTTTGCTGACAAAGCTGTACAGCTCCAAGAAAGATGACAGCTGACTATGCAGGACAACCAACTGTTTGCTTCAACCAGTTTTAGCTCTTCCAAGTAAAAGAAGTAAGCTGCCAAATACCACCTATTGTAGGAACTCAATCAAGACCCACAGACATGACCAAACACAGGAAGCAGGTACCAAGCTGTGCACTGGCAGCCAGTATGCTTCCTGTCAGGAGACAGAACAGCCCAGAAAGTGCTTGTGGAGCCAGCTGCCACTTTCACAGACAAAAAACACAACAGTAGTCTCAAACAACATAAAAAAGGTTGTTCAGTAACAGTGAAAGATGAGGTAAAATGTCGGCTCTTCTTTATTTGTGTTTGTGCAGCAGAGTATTTTTCATCTGCATAAAACTTAATAGCAAAGGTTGTGATGGTTTCCATAAGGAGGTAAAACAGAAGTCAACTGTAAACTCTGACAGGAATCATTGAAAAAGTAAGTGATTTGACATGACCAGCAACTATCTGAAGAGCATTTGCAGAGCTTTTAAGCTGGCTGTTGCTGTATCACTTAAATTTCTTCAACAAAAAAGCTTTAAAAGTCAGTTTGTTAGCCCCAACACTGGGACTATACCACATGAAGCCAATTGTGTTGTAAAAGGAGGACATTTTATCATTTCTTTTCCCATATAATCCCTTGGTATGATTTCTTTTGTCTCACAGCCACCAAGAAAAACAGCACACAATGTGCTCTGGAAAGATCCATTCTTACTTCTTTTACTCAGAACTTTTAGTCCATTCAGAAACCGGAAATAGCTTCACTCCATCCCTTTCCAGCTCAAAGCCTCTTCACTGAAAAGGAGAAAGCCACTTCACTTATTCCCAAAACAGCAACAAGGAGGCTGAAATGTAACTGCTGCTTGATTAGACCAGAGACTCTAAAATGAAGAACTATTACTACCAAGTTTCTATAAAAATTCATCGATGTATTTTTCAACCTATACCAACTTCCACCAACTACATGAAGGGCAATAAGAAATCTGTATCTTGTATCACATGTAGAATATCCAAGCAGATGAAAGTGCCTCATTTTCATCAGATTTTTTTGAATACCTTAATTCTCACCTCCTTTCTTCATTCATCCACCGAATACAATGCTCTAAGTCTTCTTAAAAGATTCCACTGAGGATAAAACTCTCTTCTACCACCCAGAGAATCTGTTTTTTGCTCATACCCTTACAATGATTTTTTTAAGCAGCTCAAACACTCACTTGTAACACTTGGTCAACTTACCACTGCCACAGCATCACTAGAGAGGACAGAGTGAGCATCCAGCACGGTATAGTAAGCTATATTGGTCATAATATAGATAATAGTCACAATTGGCATAGACACTGCAATAGCCAGAGGCAAATTCCTGTAAGACAAAAAAAATACCAAAACTCCAAAACCCACAACTGCAGAAAAAGAAAAATTACATTAGTAACAGATTAAAGTTACCTATTTGTATCATTTACAATACAGAGAAAAGTAATGAAGCCAGCATAAAGATTTCAAAAAAGGTATCTCTGGAATCAGAGTTTGTTTTCTTTTTTAACTAGAAATTCTCATATAGAAGGCTGGAAAAACCCCCAGATATTTATAGTAACTTAGAACCTAAATTATGTGTAAAAAGGGATTCTCTCCAACTCCTCTTCAAACACTCTAACTTCAAGGTTTCCACATCTGTAGTAACAACCTTCAAACCTGCATGCTTTAAATGATTTCCTAATGTCCATGTTAATTACCACATTTAGAACCCAAAGAGGCAGAGCTCTGAGGTACTGCACTCCTTCTCCCTGGGGAATGGGGCTGTCCTTTCAGCACTTACTTCTGGAACTGATGCAGGGAGATTTATTAAAGCAAACCCCTATGCTTCATGTCTGCACTCACCACTGCAGAGAACAAACTGACCGGGCTGCACAGCAGAGATGCAGATCTAAAATTGCTGAACAGCTATGAGCCCCAGCATGTGGTGTATCCTACTAGCAAGTACAGGTCTAGAAAGCTATAGAAAAACAAGTGAAGAGTAATAGGAAACTGCTAACCTTTAGATGTGAGCAGGTCGGAGTTAGCTGTGAGATAAACTCACAGCCCTGAGTGTGCAGCTCCACAGAAAAAAAAATTTTAATGTTAGGTTTTGGCTTTTCTCAGTCTCATTCTTCCCTCAAACCTCACAGGAATATTCAAATGTTTCAAAAGGGGAAGCAGAATTGAGAGTGTTACTCTCACATTTGCCCAGTTTGAAATCAAACACAGCAGGGTGACATTGATGTGCATTTGCCATGAACATTGTTTTCAATAACAACAACCAAAAAACCTCCAAAAAACAAAAGCCCAAAGCATAAAAATTATCAGTTTGACTGAAACTTTTCAAAGTTTCCTCAAAAACTTCCTGAGGCCCAGAAGTCCAGCTGTTTCTGTCTGCTGCCATGGAAGCAGAAAAACAAACATACCCCACATCCTCCATATAAATCAGTAAATTAGTAACTGGGAGTTCTGACTCTTCTTTCAGGTTGCACACCCATAGTAAGCGACCCGTGAATCCCAGCACAGAGAAGAAAAAGAATCAGAAAACTGAATTTAATTCAGAAATATTACACAATGTAACAAAAATCTGAAATAGCATTTTAAGGACTTTGCATCATCCAAGATTAACGCCAAGGGACGATGTCAAACGTAAATTGTGGATTGCAACTTTTGGGTGGACAAGCATGAAGGCACTACCAATCAAGTGAACAGGAAAAATATGTAATTCTTGTAGCAATTTTGTAGAAGTCTGGAAATTATTCCCAAGAACTGTCAATGCAGAAAGCTGAAATCTGAAGTTCACTTTACCAGCTACCATTCTACCAAGAATGAAGCTTGTATGAGGCACTGATGCCTATCTAGAGCAGATGATGATGAAGAAATTTGCATCAGCTAAATATCCTGTGAGAAAAATTGTTTTTCAAAACAATGCATCTAAAGAAGAGCTATCAAACTGAATACTAACTTTAAAAAGAAAAGGCATTGCAACAATACTCAAAAAATAAGCTTTTCAGCAGAAAAAAACCCCATGATTTGAAGGACCAAATGACTTATGAAAATACAAAATGTGTATCTTCTGAATATGTGTATCAAATCTTTGCAAGAGGATTTAAAGAAACAAACTGTCAATCTGGAATTCAATCTAACTAAAAGTAGCTAGGTTTTCTTTAAAGTACTTATCCACTGTTTTAATAGACAGCTTTCCTAGTTAGATAAATGCCCAGCATAAAACTAAACATCCAGCACAGAAGGGAATAAACTGCAAAAGTCAAAATCAGTCAGGAGAACTAAAAAAAACCATGTCATTCTTCTTTATCATCCAGCTACAGCAATCTGAGCTGTTGCTTACAACAGGATGCAAAAATTATCAAAGGGGATTCTATTCTAACATAAAAGTGTCTGCTTACAAACTCACAACTGGGCAATATTAGCCAGTCATACTTTTAGAGCATAAATTATTGGAAAATATCCATATTCTTAAATATGAAATCAGAATGTTTGCACAGGTAAACACAGACAACATTTAGGTACCACTGCAACAATGACACCTATTATAATAAATTGCAACAACATCTTGAACTGAAAGCTTATCTAGCACTGAATCCTGCAATCATCTACACTCAACTGTTCTTGTGTTTTAATTTCTTTTTCACTTTCAATGAAATTTAGTAAATCTTTGCTGGTGGCCATCCACAGCCTCACCAGTAGAGCAGTTCTACTCATTTCTGCATAAGCTTAGAATTTATTAGTGAATAACAGCCACAAACCCAGCAACCCAGGAACCATTCACATTTAGAAAGCTCAAACCATTTACCTTTCTGGGTTTTTGATTTCTTCTGTTACATAATTGAGTGTATCCCAACCAGAGTAAGAAAACAAGGCAGAATATAATGCAAGGGAGATTTCTCCAATATCAGTAGAGGATCCCTCAAAAGAGTTCTTAAAATGCCATGTGTGTCCTGTGTAGAAAAGATGCAGTGAAGGACAGGATCACAAAATACAGTAAGTAGTATTTTTTCCATGCGCCACAAAATTAGAAAAACACCTCAGAAACCCCAATTCCTTCACATCTGCTTATTAAGAACTTTTTTCCAATTCTACTCCATGTTTTAGCCATGAGAATAAGCATGGCATTTAAAACTACTATTAATTATTCTGTTTGTATGGTACTGTTCTACAATCAAGCACTTGGTTTGTCCACAGTAGCACAAGAAGTTCAGGAACATTAAATTCAGACTAAGTTATAAACAATTGGCAATGATAGTACTCAGGTTAAGTGTGGGGGTTTATAATATATATATATTTAGAAAATAACCCACTCTATTATTTTATATCTTTTGAAATTTTCAAACATTTAGCTTATGCAGCAAACAAAGATTACAAGGGATTTAGATAACTATGACAAGAGAATCCCACACAAATACCCACAGAGATATTTAAGGTTTTGCTACTAATAATAGAAAACTGAGAAAAATTAACAGAGTATAAAGTATTCCTGTTAAGATAAAATGTTCCCAAGCTAAAAGTGTAGGTGTGTTTTTTGGACCAGTATTTGTGAAAACTTGTGCCATCTTTTGACTGTAAGCAAGTCAATACAAGTTCATCAATCACAGTTTAATATTCAGACTCTATATAAACACACACAAAACCAACAAAAACAGAAAGGCAAGTTATGTGCAAAAATGCCCACTCTATTATTTTATATCTTTTGAAATTTTCAAACATTTAGCTTATGCAGCAAACAAAGATTACAAGGGATTTAGATAACTATGACAAGAGAATCCCACACAAATACCCACAGAGATATTTAAGGTTTTGCTACTAATAATAGAAAACTGAGAAAAATTAACAGAGTATAAAGTATTCCTGTTAAGATAAAATGTTCCCAAGCTAAAAGTGTAGATGTGCTTTTTGGACCAGTATTTGTGAAAACTTGTGCCATCTTTTGACTGTAAGCAAGTCAATACAAGTTCATCAATCACAGTTTAATATTCAGACTCTATATAAACACACACAAAACCACCAAAAACAGAAAGGCAAGTTACTGTGCAACTCCAAAACTGCCCTATACTATGCATCCTGAAGTGTTTAGACTCCTTTAAAACTGTAATTTGAAGCCTCTAAAATATCTTTACTTATTTCTCTTTTCTACTTTTTATCGCAATCAGACATTGCTACTCTCTTGGCACAAACAGAGGTGGACTAACTGCTGAGGTAGGAACAGAAAGTGGAGACCATGTCAGGGAAATTAGATGTGAACAAGCTTGGTATCTATGAAACAAGGGATGGGCAGATGTGCCAAGGATTAAACCTGGTGCTTGCATATGCATATTCTTGATTGGGTCACAGTAATTATCTTCCTATGAACTTTCAACAATAACCATTTAGAGCAAAGGACATAAATTGTCAGATTGCCAGGGAAAGACAGCCCTTCATGGCAGCTTTGAAAGCAGGATAATTTTCTTACGCTAACACACCAACAAATTCTTCCCAAAGGAAGGGCTAAGAACAAAGCTAAGTTCAGAATTTCTCTTAACTTGAAGGCACAATGCCCAACACATACACTTTCTAATTCTCTATAACAGAACTCGGGCTTTGAGCAAAAACACAGGTGTAGCTTCACAAATCTACCTACATATTCTTAGCACATTTGTGCCTCAAGTTCAGGCACACTTTCAGGCTGCAGACTCATTTTGTAAAAAAAATATTCAACTGATCTCACTGTAGAGACATTCTTTAGAGAAATTTGTAATTTTCACCACTCCCACTGTACTTTGCTGTGTCTGTGTATTGCTGTTTTCACTCCCTTTTTAATTCTGTACTGCAGGCTGTAAATAACACAGCATTGCTGAGCAGTCAATTATCTTCTTTTGCCAAGTTCAAAGTCAACTGAGATAAGATGGATATCCCATGAAGCAGTATCATGATAATACCTAACATTGGTATTACTGGTATTTTCAAGGTGGCTGTATTATACTTTTTTTACTGAGGCATTTCATAAAACACACAGAGGAAGTTTACAGTCCTTAGATCACTCAGTTTAATTGATAAGCACAAACCTTTGCTACAATTTTACAAGCTTACCCTGGCAGATTTGAACAAGTCCAGTGATGATGATGGCAATAAGAGCAGCAACTTTAGCATAAGTAAATACATCCTGCACACGTGTGCCCCACTTAACATAGGCACAATTTATAAATGTCAAAAGACCTAGGGAAGGAAGAAAACAGAAAAATTAAAACATTATTTGAACAATGCTCAGTTTAACTCACTTTTCAAAGCTTTTAATTGTCATCCAAATATGCACTTACTTGTTATAATAATACTTAGGTTAAACTAAGCCAAATACACAGGTACTGAAAACACACTGATTCCAACAAAGCAGCAGGAAACAGATGTTTTAAACACTGTTTCAACAGACAGGAGGAAATACCTTCCTGTTCTCTGATTACATGCTCATTTTCCTAATGTTACCCCTCATTGGCTGTACTCTGCAACCACCCTGAAACTAAAGAAACTGCTACATGAAATAATTCATTTCAATGTACCAATATTCTTCTAATAAATTAAATATTACCTAGAAATTCCCTTGGGCAGACATATTAAAAGAGTGTTTGAAAAGGTTTCTTTATGCTTCATTGTTAGGTTGAGGATGAGATCAACATCCATGGAGTAGCTGCAATGCCAAGTATGGTTACAGGTGATTCAACACTTTCCAGTTCTACTGAACTGTATTATGAAGAGAGAACATATCAATTTTACAAGGGCATGTACTGAGAGGACAAGGGGTAATGGCTTTAACCAGAAAGAAGGTAGATTAGATTGGATTAGATGAGGTGTAATCAGGAAATTCTTCCATGTGAGGGTCATGAAGCACGGGCACAGGTTGCCCAGAGAGGTTGGGGTGCCCCATTCCTGGCAGTGTCCAAGGCCAGGTTAGATGGGGCTTGGAGCAGCCTGTGAGAGTGGGAGGTGTCCTTGCCCATGGCAGGGAGTTGGCACGAGATGATCCTCAAGGTCCCTTCCAACTTAACCATTCTGTGGTTCTAAAGAGCATGTCCCTTACAGCTAATACTACAGCAGTCTGCATTTTTACAAACTGGTAGGAAGTAAGGAGTATTCTGAATGCCTTTAGTCCTCTATCCCAAAATAAATTAGTCAGACCTATTTCACAAGATGGCAATGAAACTTGAAATGAGACTTTCAGATCTCACAAATGTCTTGTATTTGCTGACGAAACTTACTCACATGCTCAACTTCCCCAAGACAGTTCTCATGACTCTCAACATTTTGCTTATGCATTCATTACCCTTCTCTGGAGTGGAGAGCCAGACAACCTTTGCCTGAATTCAAGGCAAGAGCTGTATACTGAATAGGATTCAGTATCTTCAGTAGTCTTTATTTAACAAAATTCTAATTTGGTACATATTTTTCTTAGCTAAATTATCACTATATAATTGAAACTTCTGAATTGGAAACAGTATTTCTCCCAAATCTCAGTTTTCCCTCTAGCTAGTGAAAAAGTGTTTATATACTACTGTACTTTTTATCTCCATAGAATTTTCTAGTACTGCATATTTTAAATATGCAAATAAATAAAAATTAAACTTGATTGTTTCAGGAATAAGGTAGCAGTAAATAAAAATTATATAAAAAGATGTGATATATTATTTCCTTTGCCATAATCCAAGAATACTATGATAGTACTGAAATAAAAATGACCTTAGCACAGCTACCAAATTCAAAAGAGTAACTTTTAGAAGCTAACAAAATAAAGGAAATGATTGAGTAAGTATGGCACTCTTATGTTACACAGTCTGGACAAGCTGCATGAGGCTCAGCTGAGCATGGCAAGAAGAGGGGGGGAAAAAAACCCAGTCATATCAAATTTCAAAAGTCAGGACTGCTGCAGCTTCCAAAGAGCCTTCAGGAAAAAAAAAAACAACTCTGCTCAGACTCTGCGCTTCAGTATTAGTGATTGGAGTATTTGCTCACTGGATTTATTTCTGCTGTATTTTTTAAAGCAACTTTAATTGGGATTAATTATTATTAGTGAGTTAGGGCTTGGTCTCTGCTTCAGATGAAATGATACTCTCATACCTTATAAGGGAAAAAAAAGAGAAAAATTATCAATATTCTGAATAAGCCAAATCTCTCTTTGTTTTACTAAAAATACTGTTTTCTTTAACTTAATTATTGTTTAGCCACTTAAGTTTCTGAGAACTGTCAAGTTTAGCTCTGTAGCACCAGGTGACACCCCACTGCCAAAATGATTGTCAAAGTAACGCTGCATAACACGAAGACTGTTCTCACACTAGCTCTAGTATTGGTATTATTAAAATTAAAAAAACCCAGCCAACAAAACTAAACCTCACAACAAACCCACCCAGTCTCACATACAATCTGTACCCAACCAATGTGCAGACTTCCACTCCCAGCAGCTTCATTATTAAAGGATTAATCATATCCAGAGCTAGGGATGTCACAAACAACATCAGCCGTGCCAAGACAGGGAGAAGTCCAAGCTTTAACAGCTAAATGAAGCTGTACAGCAGGGGTGAGTCTCAGCACTGACACTCAGAGCAGGGCAGAACAAGCATTTAAACCACAAAACAGACTGTTAAAGTAAATTGTTCCACCTGCCTGAGTGATTCTGCTGTCACATGTCTCCGCTAAAAAAAGAGGTGCTAAATCCTCTTCACCAGCAGCATAAGTAGAGGACATCACACTGTTTTTCTACACCTACTATATAATAATTTTAATTTAATCACTTTGTCTTAATTTATTGTTTTCTAACAAACTCCTTTTTATAAGGGCTAACCGTCCTCAGAGTGAGGGGATACCTTAAATGGAAGAGCAGATTCTCCTACAGTCTTGAATTTGTGCCAAGATACCTTGGGACAATACCTGTTTAAGGAATGTGAACATGACACCACAGGCCCTTCTTCATTTGGAAGAAGGAGGGAACAGAACTGATTGAACTGACAGATTTCCTGGAAGAAGTTTGTGATTATTTTTCCTCCTACCTTGTCCTCAAGGTATGAGGAAAAATATGTTAATGCTTCCACAACAGTAGAAAACATGTTAATGGGAAGGAGAAGCTGCAATCATAACCAGTTACAGAGGTCAAATATCCAAAGTACATGCTCTGTCATTTCCCTTTCCTTATCCTTTATAGACAACTTAATAAGGAACATTAGAGCTCTTCCAAAAGATGCCTCAAAAAGGAAACAACTAGAAGCAGCACGTGTCCTTGCAGCATATTGCTGGCAGTAAAAGAGTCCAAAAGTTCTGTGTTAGGTTTTTGATATAAAATCGTGTCAATAGAGGTGACAGGCTCCAGAGCACATGGCAATGGATCAGTACATCAAAAAGCACTGTTCTACAGACTTGCTGAAATAGTTTTGTCACTGCTTACTGGAAATGTAAAATATGTATATAAACACTTTTAATAGGAAACACCTAAAATTAAATAAGACACACAATTCAATCATAGAGTTTCATTCTTTTGATACAGAAGAACTGTCCTAGTTTGAAGTGTGTGGGCAGCTGTTCCTCTATACTGGCAAACAGAGCTGGCTATATGAATACAAATATTTCAATTTTATGTACATACAAAATTTCCACTTTTCAAAACAGCTTTACCACACATACTGCTGTACTGATCTTACAATTAATCCCAAGCATAACGAATCATCTTGAATGAATGATTTTTTTAAACCAGAGTAGTAACTGAAACATATAACCATTGAGAAATTATTGCAAACCAAATGACATCAGAATTTATGGCATAAGAGCCATTCTGCAGTAGCTCTTAAGACCACAGCAAGAGTATCCCAAGGTTTGATTTGAAATACCTCTTCCAAGGCAAAACAATTTCTACCCCCATTTTTGCCAGGTAAGTAAGCCTGGAAGAGTTCAACACCTTGTTCTGCTTCCAAATGAGAAAATGGCCATTCACTGACTGAACACCTGCAAGTTTCTCATGCTGGAATTGTTCTTTTCCCCATTATAACTCAAACCATTGCAGATCCAGTATGCACCAGCTCTGAGTGTGGGTAAGATATTTTAATAAAATGTATCGGGGTAGAAACTTACCATAGTAAATTTAACTCAAACCATTGCAGATCCAGTATGCACCAACTCTGAGTGTGGGTAAGATGTTTTAATAAAAGGTACCCTGGATAAAAACTTACCATAGTAAATTTCAATAAATACTTACATTCACAAGCAGCTGCTATGAGACGACAAGCCACATACGGAGGGTCACAAGAAGGGAAGAAAGGCTGAACTATGTAGTTAGCAAAGGTGATGGCAATGATTGCCTGACTAGTTGGTTCAACAATCAGCAGTGAGGTCCACAAACGAATAAAAGCAATGAAGCTCCCAAAAGACTCCAAGATATATGCATAGCTGGCTCCTGACTTTGTAATAGTGGTTCCAAGTTCAGCATAGCAGAGAGCTCCAAAGACTGAAAATATCCCTCCAACTGCCCAAATTATTAAAGACAATCCGTAAGATTTGCTGTAGATGAGAACTCCTTTGGGCGAGACAAAGATACCTGAACCAATCATGTTGCCTACTATAAGGCTTATCCCATTTATTAAAGATATTTCTTTCTTCAGTTGAAATGTATTTTCGTCTCCATTCTGTGTTCCACTTTCATCTGTCCTTTCTGATTTATTGACGGGGCTGTATTCAGCCAGTGAAATTTGTGATTTTGTACAATCTGTCCTTTCTGCCATTGTGGAAAGACTGTGAATTCTCCACGACTCCAAACCACAATCTAAAACAAAATATAGACAGCTGAAATCATTATTTTATTTTTTTTTATCCCAGGACTTTCTTGCAAAATCTTCTTTCCACCTTTTTACCCTATGATTTACAAATATAAATTAAGATATTTCCTTTTGTTGCTTCGTGTTTGGTTCTTTTTACACAAAGTCAAATTCATGCACAGTTAAACAGCAGAACCAACCCAGACAAACCAAGAGACAAATTCCTATATAACTTAGAATTAAAGAGGAACTGCTACCATCAGGAAAACAAACTAACAAAACTGTGGGAAGGACAGAATTAAAGGACTCCTATCTTGAGAAGACCAGAAGAAAGACCAGAAAGAAGGACAGTAAGATGTTATAGATAAGGAAGTACCACAAGACCAAGATGGAAGTTCTAGACATGAACACAGATGTACAGCAACACTAAAAATACCAATGCAAGTACTGTGCCTACACAGGTAATTTATGAGTGATCTAGTAATGTTATCAACTGCTGAGGGCCACAGGCAGAGGTGCTCACTACACAGTTTTACACAAGTTTAAGATCACTAGTTTATTCGTAGCATTAAAAAAAACAGGCCCTACATACTACCAGAATTATTTTCATAACTATTCATTTGCCCTGCTCCTGATTAAAACTTTAGTATACACTTCAACTATTTGCTATAGAATAGAAAAAAAATTGAAAATCTGGGTCAATTAGAATAAAGCAGATAATCTAGTGTGGGGTGGATTTTGTGCTTTTTTGGGGATAACACTAATTTTACAAATTAGTGGTTTTTTCTAACTGCAACAATAACCTTGTCAGCTGAGACAACAAAAAAACTGAATATAGGAATTTTGAAAGGTCAACCAAACTACCTGTGCATCTAGTAACATATGAACATACAAGCTGACATCCAGCTACCATTTGAAAACATGCCATGTTCATTTTCAGCCCTTCTGGCAAAAGGACAGAACTGCATCAATACGTTAATAACTGATCACTGATGTAAAACTCCGTTTTGGTGGTAACTACACAGCTTTAGGATTTCTTGCTCACATATCCTAATCATCATTTCTGTTTCCTCCTGAACACCTTCCAAAGTACAAATTCATCAGAAGCAAACACTTCACTTGGAATACTCGGGCATTTTGATGATTTAAGTCAATTGAATAATTCAAATCCCATCAAACCTGGTGTGTTAAGTCAGAGCCAGTTTTGCACAAAGAGTAACCATCATTGATTTACCTCATGGTAAACCAGAGGTGCATTTAATTACCTGCAGCTACAGACTCAGTCACCTCAATCAGCAGCATGTGACTGCAGTTTTACACAGTTTTGTTACCTATGACCTTGACTGCTTCTTGTCCTACTCTCTCCACTAATTACCTGCAGCTACAGACTCAGTCACCGTTCAAATGCATCCATCTCAATCAGCAGCACGTGACTGCAGTTTTATACAGTTTTGTTACCTATGACCTTGACTGTTTCTTGTCCTACTCTCTCCATCCAGGAAAGAACAATCACAGTATCCCTCAACCTAGACTCTTTTGTCCCCCAGTTCTCCTTCTTCCCCTCCTGCTTTTGTTATTCCCAATTTTGGGAATCTGCCAAGAACTAGGATTTGCCCGAAGGTGTGTACAACAGCTCAATGAAGATTGGATACTTGACTCCCTTCCCTAGCCTTGTTTGTTTTATATGCCTTTTAAAGACTTCAGGGCAGGAATTGCTTGTTTGCCTGACTCAGGTGATACATTACACCACCTCGGAAAAAATCAAAACTGTTGGCAGGTTTTTTCTCTCAAGCACTTCACTTAACTTTAAGTGGAATCAGTATCTGCAGCTTTGACCAATTGGAAAAAACTTACCAAGAAAGAGGGAAAGCAGAGACTAGAGAAAACCGAAGCTATGTCAGAGAAAAAACGCATGTATCAAAATCCATTATTCTGTCCCAAGATCATTATTTCAGTGGAAACAGAAAAGAAGCTTGGAGGAAGAGAAACAGAGACAAATAGTATACATTTTCTAACATACAATAATCCTAATATACTGCAGCTAAAAATACTTTCAGAACAATCTCTAACACTCCCAAAGCCTGACCACAGGCTAATGCAGGGTTCTGCCTCCACACAAGCTAACCAACACGTGGATTTCCTCATCCTCACCCTTGTGCAACAGTGTCTTCAACTCTTTTTTTGCTGATCACTGCAGCCGTGAGGAATCTTTTTGCTGATATGTGTAGATTTTTTTTTTTTACTGAAATGACTCTGCTGTTGCTATAGAAAGCTATGATATGAAACCAGCACAGAGTGACCTGAAAGTAGGAGCACTTCACTGTTTCAGCAAGGATGCATCTTCTGGTGAGGCCTACCACACTGCAGACAGGTACAGGGGAGCTGATGAAGGTTAACATGCAATTAGCAGTGTACCAACACTGCATTACAGGGTGGCCCTCCTCTAAGGGGAGGGAAAGAGGAACCATCTGGCAAGATCCCCTTTCTCCCACTGAGCAGAACACTTGTCACTTGTTCGACCTGGGATGAACCTGCAAGTGATTTAATGACCAAGGTGAAGCAGCAAACTGCAAAAAGCTTACTGTGTTTGCTGTGCTTTTATACAGTACCTGCTCATTAGCAAAGATTTCTGGCGCTCTTGCTTCTGTCTTCCTTAGCTCTTGACTGCATAAAACAACTCTCATTGTAACACAGCTTACATTGGCTGTTCATATATCAGATGTCAGACTCCTATTTCTGAACACAATGACTGGTCCTATGAGCAATATTCAAGATTGTTCTATACAGGGAAACAGCATCAAACTCTTCAGGGAGTTATGCACCAACAGACCAAATTTCTGGCTGTAAGTCCAGAAATGCTTATTCATTGCAATGTATATATTTAGGCACCTCATAGTCTGAACATTTACATGGGAAAGGCTTAGAGTTTGTCTAGGATATCTTTTTTCTGGTGAGAGAAGAATCACTGCCCTACCATATATATGCTTAACAGACAGAAAGTCCGTGCAACAAAAACAATTCCCACTGTAAAGATCTGTTCAACCAAGTATTTTGTGCTTGCATATACAAACACACCATCTTTAGCACAATAAAAAAGAAATCCTACCAACAAACATTTGATCAAATAGAATTGGTTGTAACATCCATTAAAAAAAACCCACAAGATATGTTTTATCATGTAAAAAAGTATGAAAGAGAAGTTACTATCAGTTTTTTCACTGATAGTTTATCAGTAGGTAGTAATATTTTTGTATTTTTCATTATTTTCATATTTCTAAGGAATAAAACAGAAGTAAGCTCATAACAGGGACTTTGATCAGTCTTGATTTAGGCTGGGAGTGCACGAAGCTGCTGCAGTGAGAAGAACATCTGGTGAAATTTATACAATAAGGTAAAGACAGAAGGAAGAATCGTAGAGTTTGTTAACGTAATTCACCTTATTTTTCATGCTGGGGTAGAAAAGCGGAAACATCTTCACAGTGGGGGAAATAACGCCTAAAGACACACGCTACACCCATGTGTACTCTTTAGGTGGCACTTACAACCGCACCTGATCAGATTGCAGTCAATACCCTCCATTTAAAAACACACAGAACAACCAAAATCACTACTAAACATCAGCAAGAAAGGGTGCGCTGGCCTGAGGGTCTCGCTCAGCCCGCCCCAGCGCCCTGCCCCAGCTCGCCGGCAGAGCAGTGATGGTTACCGGCACCGAAGGCACCGAAGGCACACGTGGCTGCACAAAGCCACCCTCGAGTCGCCATAAGCGTGACCCCGGGGCTGCGGCCGCCGGCCTGACCCTCCCGCCGCAGGAGCGGGGCACGTCCAGAGGTGCCACTGCTACTCTCGGAGGCCGCTCCGCTCCGCACAAGCGGTGCTGAGCCTCTTTATCCTCATTAAATAAGCGAGGTTCACACAGCCCCGGGAAGGAAGTAGCTGCAGGCAGCCGCCTCAGACGGGGGCTGTCAGAGTCGGGGCGCCCTTTAAAGACAATGCAGAAGCACACACGGCATTTATCCGGCTACCACCGCACGCCTGCGGCAGCCCGGGTTCGCCAAAGCCGCCGCCGCCCCAGATGCTCCGCAGGCAGGCGCTGCCGCCGCAGCCCCTGCACTGAGGCCGCTCCCTGCCCGCCTCCCCTCAAGGTGAAGGGAACTGAAGGAGAGAGGGGAAGGAAGCCGAAACCCCACCCGGGCCGCGCCGGCCGGAACCGCGTTACCTCCGCTCCCGCGGAGCCGTCTCGGGAGCTGTGTCAGGATGCTCCCCGCCCGTTGCCACCCGACACGCGATGGCGGCCCCGCAACCCCGCCCCCCCACGCCGGCATCGCCGTCGCCGCCTTCCCGCCGCGCCGCCCCGGCACCGCCGCCTCCGTCACCGCCTCCGTCGCCTCCTCGCCCTTCCCCGGCAGAAATCCGCTACCTGCCGCGTGGTCGCCCCGAGGGGGAGGCCGGAGGGAGCCCACCAGCTCCGCGGGGGTTGCGCGGGACCCCCCGGCACCCGCTGGTGCGCCGGGAAGTGTTTGCCGGGCCGGAGCTCCCGCCCGCCCCGCGGAGTTCGCGTCGGCCCCTCCGCTACCGGTGGGTGAGGAGAGCCGCGATCGCCTCCCCCGCCGCTGCCGGAGCGGGGGACCAGCCTCCCCCTTCCCCGCGGGGGCAGGATGCAGAGGAGCCCTAGCGCTGACGGTACGGCACGGCGCCTTCGGCAGCCCGGGCCGGGGCCCTGCCCTCACCCCGCGCTCCCTGAGGGCCTGGGGCGCACGGAGCTCCCGAGGAGCTGCACAAAGTTACACCCACATGAGTTACACCCACATGAGTTACACCTCCTGAAAGACCCTCACGCTTGAGACTGAGGGGCCTGAGAGGGTGGAAACCCCAAAATCCGGTGGTATTTTGGGTTTCTACTGCATAGGTCTAAGGGTCAGTCATAGTGGATATGGAAATGAAAACAGAACGGTGCCGTTGGTGTGTTCCAGCCTCCGAGAGGGGCACAGCTACACCCAAAATTTGGTTTTGTTAAAATAGTAATGGATTTCCTAGAATCGTGATTAAAAGTGATCCATGGTACCTGATTATAATAGTAAGGAATTGGCCGTACAGGAGGTTTATCTGGGGTGTAATGAAAGCTTTCTTGTCTTCCACTAGCAGATTAATAGTTTTACCCTGTCTAAGCCAGTGAACCCCAGGCCACAGCCTCCTCTTAATGTTATTTTATGGCCTTTTTGCTGCTCCCTGTGAGGCAAAGGGATGGTTCAGTGCCTGGAAGGAAAACAGTGTTCAGGAGGCAGGGTAGTCTCACTCGAAATAATTTAATTACTCCTCCCTGCCCTGGTCCATGGTTATTATCTACCATCTGACAGATAAGTAAGATGTGAAGTTTTTCAAGAGGGTAAAAATCTTAGGGGCAAATAAAAATTATAAGGCTGTAAAAGAAGAGGGAAAGGCAAACTATGCACTGTAATACCCATAAATGCACTAGTAAATGCAATAATGAAGTCCAGTTTTATTGCCATGAGGCTTACATTTCTGATTTCCATTCTGCTTCCTCTCTCAAAGTTTGTGTGTTTTATCAAGGAGTTGTTTTCCTTTGTTGTCACAGAGACAATCAGGCTACCAAGCAACTGCTCATCTATATCTCCAGATATTCATTACACTGTGTTTGGATAAAAAATAATTAAGAAAGTTGGGGGTTTTTTTGTTAAAAGTTGGCTTTTTAAGTGCACACAACAATAATAACATTAGACTTCATTTCTAAACTATAAAGCATGATAGCAAAACAAACTCTCATTTGCAGGAGCCTGATCATCTCAGCTCCTTAATTATGTTTGTCTCAACTCTCTGTTTGGCTTTTGTCAAATACAAACTATTCTAAATCTATTACCTGCTGAAGCTACTGACAGTGTTGCAAAGCAGCAAACAAAACCAGTCTGCTGCCTTCTGGGAGCTTAACAGCCCTGATAGGTGACTTTGTTTTTAAGCTGTTTATACAGCACAGACAGAAGATAAAAACATTGATGACATCCTCGGAATAGAATCACATCCTTACAGTATGAAACTGATTGATGTTACAAAGATAATATGAAGCAGAAAGCAGACATGAGATGGTAATAGCACTGTGCTGGTGCCCTTTGTTCTGTAGTGCAGGATTTTCAGGTAGGTGGGTGTTTGCAACAGCCGTCTCACACCTTAATCAAAATGTGGATTGAGTGTGAATGTAAAAGATGCAGCTGATTTCAGTTGTTGCTAGACTGCATTTTAAGCTCTCCCATGATTGAATCTACTGTAGACAGCATTCACTCCTCAAAAAAAAAAAAAATGGACTCATAAAATGTGAGCTAATTATAAAATTGCCTTTAGAAACAAGAAATAGATAAGAACTGACAAGGCATAGGAAACAAATTATTAGGCATATACTGGAAGTATAGAGAATGACATTTTACCTTAGAACTCTGAAAAATATTTATTAGAAAAAGTGCCCATTTGAGGGTTTCAAAATAGAAATTCACCACCTGGATTATGAGAATTTAAAACACTGTAGAGGTTGGTATGAGAGATCCAAGTTAGGACAGCATCATAAGGCTAGACAGTGCTTTTGAAATGTTTGCATGTGAGCAGAAGCAAACCTCAGAATAATCTTCCACATGGATATTTTTGTTCATTTTGGTAAGGCTCCTATTTTATAAATTACTTTTCCCATTTTAGTATGGAAGTGAAATGTAAGTCTGGCCTCCTTAATTTCTTCTCTTGTTACAGATTACATAAATTGTGTGGCTCTTCCCTGATGCTCCATAAATGGCCACTGGTAAGTTATGTTTATACAGGAGTGTGTATTCTCTAAGTGCTAGCAGACAAAAAACAGCTAAAAAAGATTTTGTTTCCACTACGGTTTTATCTGATACTAATTTAATCAAGTTAAGATCTTATCTCCTTCAGCTAATGAGAACAAAGTCAGACTGAGTTTTGGCTAAGTCTGTGCATTTTGCCCTATCTGCTTTTTTGTATCTGACTAATATTGCCACTAGATATATCTTAGAAAATGTAATTCAACCCAAAAAGCTTGAAGAATAACCCAATTAAATACCCCTGAACAAACCAAATAGAAATAGCATCAGATGATGGGAAACCAAGACCACACTATATTCATTAAATGGTTTTAGAACATGAAACAAAACCAAGGTAAAAATTGTTATTAAATCTAAGTGAGTTTGGAACCTTATACATCAGCTTTGTGCTTGTTCACAAGTTCATTCTGGTGGGTTTAAGCATATCCTCACACCATAAGTCCCCCAAGAATGTGTTGCTCATGCACTTAATTAATGGAAGAATGAGCATGCACTGAGCTCCTTAAGGGTCAGCACTGAAGGGGTGCTGTGTAAATGTAAGCAGTGCTCATTGCAGCTTGGAGAAAATACTGCTTCCAGCTATGTGTTTGATGGTTTGTACTGGTTCCTTTTGAAATTCTACCATACAGAGTGAGTCCCGGGACCACTTTGATGTTCATTTTGAAATGTACATTCTGTGGACACACGAGTTATTCACAGGGGTGATGAAATTATTCAGGACAGTAAATCTAGGAGTTTAGCCAGATGCCAGCAAATGACAAATTTTTTATAAGTACTTAAAAGCAGACATTATTTTTGTTAGTTTTTCAACCTTAATAATTTCCAACAAACACAGTGTCTACCATGTATTTCAGAATCAGTTCAAATTGATTGAAAGTTGAACAGAAATCAGAAGCAGAATCAGTTCAAAAAAATGCAAGTGAACCTGTTTCTTTTCTTTGGCTAAAGCTGAGTGACTTTGTTTACAAAAACAAATTCACTGATCCTTCTCTTTTTACCTTCATCTTTGTATCACACAAATTTCTGCAGTAGTGGTTTAAGCAGGGTGTGACGTACAGATGAGAGTGGCTATAAGCACCAAAGTGCTGTGCAATTGAAGGGAAAGGTCTAAATTTAGGCTTCTATATTTACCTTCCCCTGCTCCTAGCTGCATGTCTCCTCCTACTTCAGTGGCCTTCAGCATTTGACTGGTGCTGGCACTTGCCCAGCCCCCTCTGTAAGGCAGTTCTGCTCACTAAGCTGGCAGAAGACAATACTTTTATGAAGGTTGGATTTTTACTATCAAAATCACAGCAGTACAAACATGGAGTAAGCTAGGAGCAGAGGAGGAGGTAGTAGAAAATATCCCATTAAGGAACAGAAACTGTGGGATGTCTCTGTCTTGTCCAACTGCAGTTATCTAATACTCTGAAGATTAACATTAGTCTTTCTTTTATGGAAAACTTAGCTTCTCTATCCTGATGTTTTTTAAAACACATTGTAAAATAAGCTTTGACATCTCATCTTTTAATTTTATTTGTCCTGTCTGATTCTGTTGCCTTTCAGGTGCCTTATTCTTTTCACTGCCTTATCTACTCTCACCAAAATGTATTATTTGCTTCCACATATCTTTGTTGCACATTATTGCAAGCTGTTTTTGTTCAGTGCTGTCCATGCTGCAATGCAGAAGTGGGAATAGATATCTTCTAAAACATGGACCAGTTTTCAAATGTTAACTTTGCTAGGAGGGCAAAAAAACACCTGCAAAAATATCTCCATCTTCAGGTAAACTTTAAAGGTCTCTAGGAATTTTTAATCATTGTATTGTAATTTTAATAATTTGTATTTTAATTTTACATTTCTCTTGCTCATGTAATCTTCTCTATTAAAAGGGGAATGTGCAGTACATAAAGTTTTTCCCAGTCAATTTTGGGAGTTTATTTGGAAAAAATAGTGCCTTGTATATATACTTGTTTTAAAACAGATGGTTTGACTTAATGTTTTAGACAACTAAATAATTTAGCTTTGAGACCCTACCCTTTGATTATGCAAATTGTCTTATCTGTGTTGAATTACTTCATGAGCATCTGGCTATTTATTAATGAGAGTGAATGAATCACAGTCTTTGTTTTCCTGGAAAACAACATGGGAGTTAGAACCATTGTTTCACAAGTCCTATAACACTGCAGGGATTTTTAAAGATAATGCTCTTTGTCCATGTCTAATTTGAAAGCTATTAAAAGTGATTATGTATAAAAACAAACTAAGGAGGATTTGTAGCTGTAAAAAATAGCATCTTAAGGATAAGTTGTTTTTTTTTCTTGCTTCAGGTCCCAAATTAGCATGTGGGTACTATGATTGAAGAATATGAAGTCCTTAGTTATAATGTTTGTAACCAAGTTCAGCTGTATTTAAATAAATTTCTTCTGGATGAGACAGTTTGAAGACATCTGTTGAGTTGGTTTGTTCTTTTATCTTAAGTAACTCTGGCCTTCTAATACAACTGCTCAGACTTTCTTCAAAACAGTAAAGTTCCTCTCTGTCATAGAGTCCCCTGTATTATTGCCAGTCCTTTGTTGATATACTTGTGGTACCTGTCTCTCTCTCTCTGATTAAAAGCAGGAGTATTCTGAGATTCTGATCCTACTCACACTAGGTGCATTGACACTCTCTTTGCAAGCAGCTGGTTACTAGAGGCTGAAGCCAATGTCATCATTTTATTTGTATTATCAAGCTGAGTCCAAACTCTGCCATTTAAATACAACCAGATGTTCCTTAGCAGAGCCACTTTGAATGCAGCATATTACAGTACAACCCCATCAGTGCTGATCCCATCTTCGCTTTTAGTTTTTAGTGCACTCCTGTTACTTTTCTCTTAATTACTCTCTTAATTACTGAATTACCCTGAAACATTTGTATAATACAAATAAACTTGGACCTTTAATAAAAGTTCTTATAACTTATAATAACACAATACAGCATAGGAACAGTTGTTGGATGAACAGAAGTAAGGACAGCCTTTATTCTCTAAACTTTCAGACTTCTGGGGGATTCTGTAGTTGTATTTGATCCAAATTTAGGTTGCCTTTAAAAGTAAAGTTTTCTAAAAAACAATCTCAAATACATTTCTGTATAGACTCTACACAGTGTGTGCTAATTAAATATGCCAGTGCATGTTGATCTCATACATTTTGACTCTAAGGGGAACAGACTAGTGTACATGTGGTAAGAGTGACAAATAAGATCTAATTAGCAAGCCTTGTAAAAGGAAGAAAACCATGTTGTTTCACAAATATAAGATCAGAACACCTTGGAAGTTTTCACTCAAGTTCTTTCCCAACACTCCCTGTTCCATGAGCAATGTTTTCAGAATGTCTCATTATTTAAAAGTACACCTTAAGAATTGAGATGTAAAATATCTTAATGCGAAAAGAACCTTTATGAGTAGGGATTTATTGCCAGTTCATTTCCCTTTTTGCAGTAAATAGGATAGCCCTATTAATGGATTTATTAGTCTTTTGTCTGCCAGTATAGTTGTTCCAATTTCAAATCCATCCTTTGCTATTATTAGAAGGCATCCAGCCCTAAAATTAAAATTATGGTTGACTTTGCTAACTTTTCAGAAATGATTTCTCAGCAGGCTAGTTGTGAGTATTTCCACTTTGCTCCTTTGTTCCCCACTTGGCTCTTGATTACTTGGTGTGTACAGTGTCCCACAGAGCAAATCGTAGTGGACTAATTAAGAACTACCAAGAGTTTCTCAAGTTATGCAAGATCCCCAGAACTATGAAAAGCCTTTTCAGATTCCCAGTCACATACTGTGAAGTGCCATAAATCAAACTTTTGAAAACACTGAAAGCTGTGCCTCAGAGCCTTACAGGTATACTTCAGTTCCAGAAGAAAGTACTTACTTTCGTTGAAGTTTACTGCTGGCCTTTTTTACTACAGCTACTTTTTTTTTCTCAGCTGAAATCCCACAGGCTATGAATATTCTGAATACCAGTAACATTGATTTAATGACACGTGATCACATATTGGTGACATTGTTGTTTTTTACATGAGTCTGGAAGACTAAGAGAAGTGAGAGTAAACACTTGGGCTTTAGTGTTAGAGCTTAAGCAGGAGGATAAAGGAAACTAAACCTCGTGTGTCACATTACACTCTGGAGGTCAGGGAGTTATTTTTACCTCAGTGTCACTAGCATGGGAAAATGTGAAAGACCTCAGCTTATGTGGAAACTATAGGAGATGGCCAAGTTATTTGTTAGGATGGGTCATCAGTGTCATCTTGTGCAACAAACGTTATGGCTGGAGTCCTGCAAGTGTCCTCACCCCACACACTGGTCACTTGGTCACATAGGGTGCTCAGTGTCACACTACATTAACAAGTCTGTATTTATCCTTACTACAAACCACAGATTTTATTATTGAAGTGTTGTATCTTTGGGGAAATTTTTATTTTGCTAGATATTCTATGCTAGAATGACATACATTGTAGATAACCACGAGGTTGTGTCATTAAAACAAAACCCAAAGATTTAGGTTAGGTGGTTGTATGAAACAACTGGGAGGCAGCTACATGGCATGCTGTTGGAGTTAAATCCATTGTATAGCATACAGTAAAGTTACATCTGTGAAATCCTGATAATTGCCTTTTATTTTGTTTCTTAAAAAGGCTTTCTTTGTCCAACAAAAACACCTGTGATTAAATAGCCAGCTGTAAAAACAAACAAGAAAAATCCTGTCTACATGCCCAAGCGTATCTTGAAGTCTCAAATGCCGAGTGCACCTTTCCCTCTGCAGCTGTGTCTGTGCACAGTGACTGGGACAGTTCCTTGGCACTGTTACAGGCAGGAGAGGCCTGGCCACAGGCCAGGTGCTCCTTCTCTTGCTGCTGAAGATGGACATAAAGAACACTGAACAAGAAATGACAGCTTTCACTGATGGGGTCTAATTTGGGTGAGGAAGCTGACAGTTACCATAAGATTCAAACCAAAATAAATAGTCTCTGACCACCTAAGAATGTAGTGGACTTGTATGTGTTAGGTTTACAGTTAGACTCATTGATCTTAAAGGTCTTTTCAATCTAAATGCTTCTCTGATTTTAAGAATTAATGAAATTGCTATATTGATATGCTAGTAAATGGAATACAGGAAAACATTCTTACTAAACACATCAAAATGCAACAGCTGAGGAGTTAAAATGCTATTATATATCTTACAGAAAATTAAATGTAACTTGGGTTTGGAAAGACATAACATAGAACAGCATCCAAATCTGTCCTCTCTTGTTCATTTCATGAATTCTCTATGTAAGGGAGAGTTTTCTGTAAACAACTAAATCTGCAGGTTTGAATACCAGTACATGATCGATTGCAGAGGAGAGAAAAGGTTGTAGCCAGAGCTGCCAGACTGCATTTGAAGCAGCTCTGCAGGAGTCAGGGCAGAAGGGAGGAGAGCAGAGCAATGCCTTGTTTTGCAGAAAGCCTTCCTGAGTTGAAATATTTCTTTGGCTGTAAATCTTTTAGTCTCATACAGTGTTTAATAAAACCTGTCCGAGACATGCAGTCTGTCAGAAAAACAATTTAATTTCTCTGTGAGGTCATACCCGTTCAGCACAAGCAACAACTTTTTTTTTTTTCTACTACTTTGTTTGCATTTTCTGTTACTTTTTTTTGCATTGTATGTCATAAGGGGTTATTTTTTAATATTCCTGTGGTTTCATGTGAAAAGAGGGAAGAAAATACATGAATGCGAAGTAGCTCTCTCAGCAAACATTTAATGGACTGGACAGAAATCTTGCTGGATAAAGTTACATTTTAATAAAAATGGAAACATTTTCATTGTATTTGAGAGAAGAGAACCAACTATGATCTGCTGCAAAGCAAAAAAATGTAGGAGAGCCTTCTTTTCTTTTAAGAATTCACAACAACACTGTAAAGGGTGGAAATTATCTCCAGGGCTCTTTAATTCAAGTTATCTCCTTTCCATTGTCCCAACAGCTGACTTGATAACAGACCCACTCCTTCACAGGTGGGTGTTAGTGGAATGAATAGTGACTGATTTACAGGCAGTTATAAATATCCATGTTATTTAGCTCCAAGCAAAAACACATTAATTTTTCCCTTAAATAATTTCAAATGTTTATAGCTTGCATAAATAAACTGAACAGGCCGAAGGAAAAGGTTTAGTAAATCACTGTTGTTTGCATGAATTTTGTCAACTAAACAACTCTTGATCAGGTAAAAGAAAGTTCCATGAATAGTGCTAATTTCTCTGGGTAGGGGGAAGGAGCCTGTCTTCATGAAGGCCTTTAAATGTTTTTTTAGCCCCTCCTTGAAAGCCAGTCCAGAAGGACAAAGCACAAGAACAGACCAGGTACTCAATTTCCTCACTGCATGTTCAGCGCCTCTGCTCCAGACTCTTTTGTGTGCCCTTCCCCTCCTGTTTGCTAGACCAAACACACACAATTTTATCAGCCTGTCCCTAACACGAAGTTTCCTCACTGCTTATCAAGCTTTCCTCTCCTCTGGGTCCTGCTCAGTCCATGCTCAGAGCTGAGCACTGCTCTCTGGCAGCTCTGCAAGGCAGGGCTCCCGTGGCACCTGGCACGCTCGGGGAGCACGCGGGCACTCGCCTCACCGTGCTCCCCTTCCTCGTCCTGCTCTTCTGTGCCACGAGCCCATCACAGCACGTGGAAGTGCCATAAAAACAGCTTTCTTGGGAACGTATTTTGCAGCTCTTACAAGGTCAAAATTCTCATATAGTTAGGGTTTTTTAAAATATTTTCCAGGTGTATTCCTTAGTCACTTTTCTCATTTTCCCCCCCCATCAGGTAATGTTCTAATAAACTGAAAAAAAACCCCTTTGAGCCCTTTTTGGCAAAAGGACAACAAATCTAATGTTAGTAGTCATTCTGTTAACTAACATGGCACTTTTTTCTTGGTATCTAAAGAAAGAACTAAGTGTACAGAACTTTCTAAAGTACAGCCAGGTTACTTCTGCAAGGGTAAAATTCAGGCATGCTTTCTGCTTGTATGAATATTGCTTTTGCTTTGTGGAAAGTTCAAGTACAGCAATTGGAAATAGGTGTTGAGATACTTTGGCATGTTACCACATTTTAAGGGGTAAGTTCTTATTCTAAATTACTGCCATTTAATTCATCCTGCTTGAAGGAGTCCAAAAGATCTTTAACTGATGCATGTCTTCTCTGAAAGAAAAAAGGTCATTCTAAAAGCCCAGGGGAAATGGTAGTTTGAGGCTATAGATTTCTGTAATGTTACTTGACATGTATTCTTGGCAAAGGAAATAAAGGCAGGAAATAAAATACTGATCACAAATCCTATCAGCACAAGAGCTGGAAACAGTATGTCTAAGCTTCTGATCTACCATTTTTGCTGGGGTTAAACAAAATGCTTGCAATTAATATGTTCTTGCAGCTGTGCTGAATTTAATGTAACCCAATTAGATCATTAAATATGTTCTTTTCAGACCCTGTCAGGTAGTTTAATTTATGGTGGACTTACCTTCAAAATCCAGGAGTTTTGTTTAACTCAGCTGACATGCCATCTGTCAAGTCAACCATGTGCTTAGTTAAGGGAATGTAGTTCCAGGCAATGAAGGAATTGCTTCTCTAGAAAAGGAACAAAATCAAACTGTGCTAGGGCCTTTTGAGCACCAGTGAAGTATTTTGGAAAGGAGGGGGAGGGCTGGGCATGGCTGTCTGGAGGAAAAGAATGAAAGGGAATATAGTGCAAGACAAGATTTCCTGAGGCACAAAAGACCCCGGCATAATATGTATTACTGGAGGAGAGCATAGTTAATAGCTGTATAGCTCTGAAATCAATAAATAGAAATAAAGAACTGTAAATTTTTGTGCCTGTCTTGATGATGTTTGGGTCCTTCCCTAACATGCCAGGCCCACAAGTATTCATTTATGCACTTAATCTTCCTTAAAAATATTCACATATGATGCTCAAGTGACTAAGCCTGGGCAAGCATGAGAATTTTACAAGGTTATGTAGGACTCAAACTTGAAACAATAAAATAAGAGCCCTTGAGGTTAGCATGTTTTCATTAGTGCTTTAGGTTTTGTGCATTTTAGACTACTTATGTGGTGTAAAATTCTTCTCTGTATGTTAGCAGTCCATTAAAGCATTTTTTGAAATTTTGTAGATTAGTATTTTATGAATATGCACTTGTTATCTTCCTCTGATGTTCTCTGGAACTGTTTTTAACAGGCACTGGTAACAACATTTGGGTGGTATTTATAGCTTTGTTTGCCTTGCTGTCTACTGGAAAGACTAATCTCTTGAACATTTCATTCCAGAACCTCAGATTAATTTTCCACAAATCAACTTCAAACAAATTCTAGTGCAGACATTCTTACACTGCAGAAACTCTCCCATCTCAGATAAAAGCATGGTATGGTTAGGACAAAGGACAAGGGACAGTCATCTTTTTGCAAATCAGCAAAAGATAGCTGCAGCCAATTGCAATCAAGAATAAAATTACATTTCAATACATCAGAAGAATAAACATCTGCCTAATCTGCTTACCATTCCTTTAATAAATTTAAATAGTTTCATAAAATTTGTACAGCTTGTCATTTTTAATGACTATTAATTACTTTCTGAGTAACTGCAACAGAGTTTTACTAATCAGTTTATATGATCAGTCCTGAAGTGACTTGGTTTTATTATTCTCCTTGCTGTTTTCTAGAGATACCCAGGTTTCATATTTCCTTCCTGCAACTCCAGTTGTTCTTCACATTCAAGTCTTGTTTCTTTCCACAGATACTAAAGAACAGTTTGATTCTTCTATCTTTACTCCTACTCAGTGCCATTTATTCTACATTGTTTCATAATGTCACGGTAACTGCAGAAAACGGAGGTGAGTACCATAGAAGTCTCAGCTAATGAACAAGCTTGGGCAGGAGCAAAATACCATAAGCTTTCAGCAGTTTGATATTTCATACCAATGATCAACATGAGATATTTTTAACAGCTCACACTACAGGCCTTATGAGAGAATGTATTTTTGGTGAGAAAAAATGCTGCTAGTTTCACGTCCCTGTATTTTAGTTTGGTAGCAAAACTTTTTGTATCAACAACAGTTTCATTTCAACAAATGTGTACAATGTGTACCATCTCTTGAAAAATACCACACTGGAAAAGCAGGCAGCTTGTGCTCCCACCGTTTCGATGCCAGTTCTTCCACTAACAGTTAAGACTGGGCTTAGGTTTGGCATCAGATTTTATTCTCAAGTAGGCAGCTGCTTCTAGAAAAGAGCCAAAACTGTTTCTGTGTCAAAACCACAATGACAAAAATTCAGCATAGCCTGCCAGCCAGCATATCTTTAACAGGAGCATAAAGTGTCCAGCGGAACAACTAAATGGAATTATTTTGAAAGCTGCTATTAAGTTTCAACAATATTGCTAGTTTCTCTTTTAAAGGTCTGTAACTATTTCTCACAGGTGAATGTTTATGTGTTGTACTGAGTATCTTATGCCTTCCAAAGAGGCAAAACACCATGACAGCAGTTCCTTTCCTCACAAGCAAGACATTCTTTTATAGCAGAGACTGTTGAAATTTCCCATTTAAAGTGTAGATTTTAAAGTGAAAAAAAAAAAAAATCAGCTGTGAAATAAATATTTAGCTCTTTTAATAAGGAAAACTATTGTCAACATATTCTGACAGACATTGCTTTTAATTGTAACAATATTTTAATTCAAGGCAGTCTCAAAGTTTAATGAAATAATGGGAAAAAAAAAGTTTATGGTTCCAGTAGCATCATAGCTGGAAACTTTGATGTAGCATATTTCTTGTTTCTTAACTGTGCCCAGACAACACATCATTACTGCATTTCCAATCAGCCAAATGACTGAATTCAATGAGAACTGTGAAACTGCAGAGAGAACAAAAGCAACATAGGGAAACAAATAACATGGTTTTGCATTTGAAATACCTGTAGATGGTATAACAAGTTCTCATGTTAATCTGGTGCCACGAAGCTTGAATAAACCCCACTGGGCCTTTAAAACTCCAGCACCTTTTATCATTATTTTCATCATACAGAAAGTAATCTTATTATTTCTCTTTCAAATAGGATAGAGTTAATTTTCTCCATAGGAGCTAGTATGGGGCTGTATTTTGAATTTGTACTGCAAACAGCGTTGACAATTCAGGGATGTTTTGTTACTGCTGGGCAGAGCTCACACAGATCCAAGGCCTTTCTGGCCTCATCCCACCAGGGAGGAGGCTGGGGGTGCATAAGGAGCTGGGGGAGGATGAGCTGGGACAGCTGCCCACAGCTGGCCAAAGGGATACTCCAGACCATGTGGCATCAAGCTCAGCTAGGGAAGGAGGAAGGGGAGGACGTTTGGAGTGATGGCATTTGTCTTCTTAAGCAACCATTACGTGGGATGGAGCTCTCCTTTCCTGGAGAGGGCTGGACACCTGCCTGTCCTTGGCAAGTGGTGAATTAATTCCACATTTTCCTTTGCTTGTGTGAAGCTTTTGCTTTACCTGTTAAATTGTCTGGCTCTCAGCCAACAGGTTTTCTCACTTTACTGTTGTGGAGCATAGTTGTCTGCTGGGACAAATGTTCTTTTCAGCATCCAGTGTGAAGCTTGAAGGGTTCAAGGTAACAACAGATTTTACTGGAATGTGCTGGATCTCATTTGTAGCTACAGTTGCTGTTGATCTGTTGAGTGACTCCTGTGCTTGCCATGGGACTTGTTTGCCTTCTGTACAGGAGTGTCTGGTGCTTGTTAGTGGCTGGGCTGTTGTTTTCACTGCCTGTTGTACCACTTATCTTCCTCCACTGTGCCTGGGAACGTTCTGATAACAGCAATGTTTCAGTGCTGCTGGACTGGACAGACTGGAACTCCATGTGAACTCAAGCCAGAGGGTCCATGACCTGAGGGTGAGTTCAAGCAGCAGCAGGACACTCCAAAGCATCTGTGACCGTGGGGGAGTCCAGGCCAGAGCTACAAAACCAGTATTCCCAGGCTGTCTCCCATTAGAGTACAACCATGACAACAGTTCAGCAGAACCACTATTTCAAAATTATCAGCTTGGCACCTCTTCTGCCTGGTTTAATTTTACATTTGAGCTGCAGACATGTTTAGAGAGATACAGGGATATAAAGTGTTATCGTTTCTCCATTTACTGAGTACTCCAAGTCCCACATCTCCAAAGTACTGATGTAAGTACTGCTACGTTTTCATATGACCATTTGTGAGGAAAATGAAGTAATTTATATGCAAAATATAAAACTTCCAAGTCTTACTTAAGGCCCTACTGAAGAAATATCTCTTGATTCTCTGAAGCTTTTCACTGTAACAGCTGCCTCAGATATGAGTGTAGTGAAAGGCAGTAAATTTTTTCTCCTCATCCGGTATTCTTTCATTATCCTTATTTGGAAGTATTTCTAAATAGCCATTCTTCCATACTGTGACTTCCAAAAAGGTCATGATTCATTTTCCTCCATTCTAATGAAAAAAACTTAAGGAAATAAGGTGTCATCTCACTTGAACTCTGTTTGCTCTGGCACATATTGCACTTTTCCCACCTCCGAGGTCCAAATAATCATTTGTTTTACCAGTCTTGGCAATTTCCGTTGGCAGCATTTGACTTGACCTTTTAATCCAGTTAGCTTTTTCCACTACAGTACCACTACACTACCACTACAGTACTCAAATAACGGGCTGTAGGAAGAATTGCCTTTGGTCAATGGGTTGTGAGACACCAACGTGAACCTTTGCCATCACAAATAACTAGAGCTCAGATGCATACAACAGACTGTGGATAAAACCAGTCACAACAACAGCCTGTTTACCTTGGAAGGACAGTCTGGGCATGAATGACTTGTCCCAGAGGACTGCATTTGTTCACTGACAGTGCAGCCACCACAGCTTGTGCTGCCCTCTCGCCGAGGCACAGGCAGGTGTCCAGCAGCGCCCGGGCGCGGGCGGTCACCGTGGGGCACGAGGTGATGCTCTCGTAGTCCACTCGGGACAGGGTCTGCTGCGAGCGCAGCACGTCCAGCACGTGGTTGAGGAGCCCTTCTGTCATGCAGCTCAGTATGCTCTGTCTCTGGCAGGCAAGGATTTGACAGCAGTTTCCTTTGCTGCAAGGACCTTGAGTGAAAAGGAAAGCAAAATGAGATAAACCAAGTGGTTTTTTTCGTCCAGAAATTGTTAGCAAGTGATAGCATCGACACCAGAAATATAAACTTAGTAGAGGAAGGAAGGAGGAGGAGTTAGTTTGTTTGCAGTCTATGTTTGAAACTAGTCCAAAAGTATTTTCATCTCCTGTTTGAAACTCACAAAGACCAGATTACAGCCAATAGGTATTTCTAAACCTCTGGGTGCTCAGACTGTGTGAGGGGAGAAGATTTTCAGGTCTTGTCCTATTCATCTAGCATCTGTATTTAACTTTATGCAAAGCACCTTGGCTGGACACAGAAGAGAAGACTTTCTCCTATAAAGGTGGCAGGACAGCTAACAGGTACTTCAGGGTAGCAGGAGAGTTTGAAACACATAGCATTAAACTAGGAAAATGAATATAGGTCAAAGCCAAACTAATACCAAAAGTAATACTCTTGTTAAAATGATTGAGAGCTTTGGGTTCTGCCTCTTTTCATGGGGTGATTAGAATACCTAGTGCTGTCATTAGGGTTTTTAGTGTACAGTAAATAGCATACACCAAGAGAAAATTAATAACCAAAAGTTGTATTCCTTTGGAGAGCATGTTTCTGTCATTCTGATTTCTGAGTGTTGCCAGGAGAGTTCTGTGATGAACTTTTCCTGCATGGTTTAGTCTATTGATTAATCCAGAAATTATGGCATCACTCAAGTAAATTGCCATGGAGAGGGACAGCCAGCTAGGCTGAGAATTGTTATAGGCCAGTTTGCAAAAAGTTAGGATAAAAACCTCACAAAGCTTCACCCACAGTCAAAGAGTCTTCACAAATCAAAAGCTGACCCTTTCTGCCTCTGTTCTGCAGGAAGACCTGAGATGATGTGAGGGGATGAAGGGTCCCTGTCACCTGTTTCTGTAGTCAATAGCTACTTTTGCAGAGGCAGGCAATACACAGCTTATAATTGCAAAAGAATATTCCAGACTTAAACAACTGATGTATTTCACATTAATCTGTGCTATGCTTTTTTTGTATTTTTATCATGGTCTTTTCAGAACTGTTCTCAGCCTCACTGTGGCCCTGAAAGAAAAGAACAAGCCAATGTTCTCAGTGGTCAGTGCCTGAACTTCTGAGAACAGAGCAGCAGCTATACACAAATAGAGAGACATTTGTATCAAGTTAGAATCAATTACTCTGAATCCCTGAAAAGGTGCACAAAGTTTAGAAATGCCTGTTTCCTCCAAGTTTTAAACAATTTAATCACTAAGATCTGGCCAAGGTGAGTGCTGCCAGCTCAGAGTGGCAAGGGTGCCTTACCTGTCACTGCTTGTCCAAGGGGCATTGGCTGTGCTCTGTGCTGAAGAGCCAGTGCTGGGGAGTTATGCTGACTGCTCTCTTTGCCTGCAGTTGAACCAGATGAAGGATTTGTGCAAAAGGAGCTTGATTTTCTTCTCTCAGAGCCTGGGTGATCTAGAAAAAGTTTAAGATGAGGAAGATTAGACCCTTGAATTGAACAAGAAGAAAACATTACACATGTCAGCCACTACTGGACACAGGAACTGACGACTGACTTGAGGTTACTTTGGCTCCTGTTAATATATCATTATTCCTAGGAAAACTTTGGCATTTATTACTACACATCTGGCTTTTCTGTCTGTAGGAACTTGTTATTGAAGTTATGGAACATTTTATTCTGCCCATAAGTCTGATGGCTATTGATCAGAACTGAAGTGCTTGGAAATGCAGACGTTGCTGCAGGTGAATTTACTTCTGATGTCTCTATTTTTGTACCTGAAGGCATGAGAAATACAGGCTGTCTCTTCTTGACACAAATTTAAACACCTAGGACAAATTCACATTGGAAAGGTAAAGAAAGTTATCCATATAGGAACAGAGATTATCAGGAATTATTCACATGTTCCTGGCAACATTGCCTTTTTAAAAATATCTCCAGATAAGATAAAGATTTTAAAGATATCTCCATTTCATAGCAGATTACAAAAAAAGACACAAAGTATTGTGATTCCCAGAAGGGACTTGTTCTCTCAATAGCAATAGGCAATATTTGATGTGTGTGAGAAAGGCAGCTCTACATTTACAGCTCAGTATTCTAAAAAAAAAAATTAGTACTTTTTTTTAAAATCTCTATATCTAATTGGAAAGCTTTGTGGTGTCTCTCGTTTCCTGCAGTGAACTCATGCTTCAGATGATACCAATAGAAAGCACAGCTTTACTCTGAGAAGCAACAATTTTACATGAAAAATTACATTTCTATTTGGAACAACTCTAATATTTGTCCTTTTCTTGTAACAGCTGGAGCTGAATATAATTCAAGATGGTGACCTTTGGTTGCTGCTGCATTCTGTGGGGTAGCACTTGACACACCCATCTCAATATTATCTCTTCCTGCTGTATTTGCACTGCTATCAAGTAGAACAGTTGATGAGCTTGGCACTACAAGAGGAATTTTCTTGCTGATTAAGCAGTTGGCTTTTTGTGGACAGATGATCTGAAAGAGATCAAAATAGAGAAGACTTATCTTCTTGGAAACTTTTGTTCCAAAACCTTTTCTAAACAGGAGAGGTTCAAAACAAACCCTAAGAGGAGGAGGAGGTTGTTTTTGCAGGAGCAACATCAGAGTGAGCTGCTTGGAACAAGGTAAAGCAGTGGGGTTTGCTGGATGGAGTCACCCTGGCCAGGAACATTTTGCCCAAGTGTTTGCATTACTCAGTGTCAGGGCTGTCAGGAGGAAAAAGCAGCTGATGAAGAACTCTGGAGACTGCTGTGCCACGAACTCACCTCGGCATTGCAGGTGCCTCTCTGCAGGGTGTAGGTCTGTGAGCCTTTGCAGGCGTTAAGCGCTCTCTCCTGGAAGAGGAAAGCCACAGTAACTGCAGTAAGTGTAGTCATGGTTTGTGCCATTCACAGCTGCCAGGAGCAACACTTTACAGTCACAAAACTTCTACTGACAACGTGTTGTACTGTAGGGTACGCTGGATGAACAGCACAGAGTGAACAGGCGTAGAATTTGACAAAATTCTACCCTGTCACTCTGTCCAGTGTTTCACATTTATTTTAAAAGCCAGTGTTGGATCATGCAGGGGAAGGTGAAAATAAGCTTGAGAGAGATTGGGCTAGCTAGAACATGTTTGCCTTTAAGTAGCCAAACAGCATGGCCATCCTTTGTTCAGTGTGCCAGGCTGTCTGCAGTAAGGATGTGTCAATACTTGCAACTTTTTTCCCATTTGTACATCCACAGCAGATTTGTTAAACTATTTTTCTAGATTTTATACTTCAACAGTTTTGAATCAATTTCCCAGAAACTTCAGTATAGTTTTCAGAGTAATTTTTGACTTATCAGTTCAATTGTTTGAACAATAAATAATGTTCACTAATAAAATAAATCTTCACAATCTAAAAAATAAAACCTTGCTCAATGGAGATTGAAGCATTAAATTATGGAGCATTCGGCAGTACAATCTTAAATAAACTTCCACAGTAGTAAAAATTACTTTGATTCTATGCCATCTATTAAAACATTGATCAAGGCCGTTCTATAAGCCCAGAATGTGATTGCAACATATAAAAATAGTCCTGCATGCATCAATATACACAACACACAGTAATGAAACCAACAACACAGCGTGGGTTGTGTAACTCCAGCTGGAGTCAGACTCCTTGCCCAAGGGCCAAAACACATGTCAGTGTTTTCCCCAGTGCCTGTGTTAAGCAGCTAGGATGCAGCTCTGCTTGTGGCAGTCACGTTTGTGCCAGAGCTCCCATGGCAGTGTGAGCAGATATGGAGTTAGCTCCATCCCCTCAGTCCTTGGCTGTTCCCCATCCCCTCCTGTGGAATTAGAGAGCCCTGAGAGCCTGGGATGAGCAGTGCCTTGGCCTGATAGCCTGGTAATTTAGAAGGGTACAGAGGAGTGCTGTTCCTGGTATTGCTACCACAGGTACCAATGCTTTTCAGGTTTTGAACTAAATTATTTCTAACTAATAATACAAAAAACCCTGTCTTGGTTCTGGTTCTAATCTGCAGTACTTGAGCTGATTTTTGTTCTCACTCACATGGGTTTGCCAGTCTGACTCCAGGTCAGACTAGACTAGACTAGAAACAAGGTGTATTTTTAAAATAACAGGTAGCAATTGACCAATATTCTAGAGAACCTCACAATATATATTCTACAATTTCTGAATGAACCTGAAGTGCCAAAGGGCACTCTCCAGCTCTCTGGCATGACCAGTAAAACAATCAAGACAAAACCTTCTCTGGTTTTGGGTCAGAAAGATTGCAAGTGAATGAATTAAGTAATGTTGTAGGAGAACAAGAAATTTTGCACTGACCTTTGCATCCATCAAATTGTAGATTGCTGCAGAAATTACATCCTTATTTATACTAGTCAAAACTCCATTTAGAAGGTGTACACATTCTGCAGGGGTAATAAAGCATTTTAAATACCACATTGTGTATGAAAGCATGTATACATTTAGGCATCATCATATTGCAACTAACTGTACTATTATATTGAGAAAATGGATGAAATAGAAAAAATAAGTTTAATGCAACTTCCACCTCATACTTTACTTCATAGTAAATATAATTTTGGAGACAAATAAGTCCATTTCTGGTAGGAAGCTTCAGTTAGAGGAAACATCAAAGTAGTCCAATGATCCAAAGACCATTTCCACCTCAGTTCCACTTCAGAGTCCTAGAGCAATGTTCCTATAAAGACTGTCTCCATTACAGATCTTGCACAGAAAGAAATCCTGAATGTTACCTGCAGTATGTGGTCTGTAATCTGCTTCTTGATGCCAGCACAGAGCAATGAGGTGCAGCAGTCTATTCCTCTCAGGCAAATTGCTTGGTATGAACTTTTCTGAAATGCCTGGCCGCAAACTGCTGCAGATTCCTCTCAAAACATTGAGCAAGGTTCCTTGGCCTGCAATTTCAAAGAAAATGTCACTGCCAAAAAATATTAAAGACCTCTTAAAATGATATGCAATGTAAGTCATCGTGTATATTTTAAAACAAAGACTGCTTTTTTAAAAGGGATAATATATTAATGCTATTGTAAGTAGATATGCTAGCCTTTAATATTAGCTATACCTGCTAATTGCAACAGGACTTCATCTTTCAGGATGAAGAACTCTGTCCAATATTGAGTCACAAATGGTTATGTAAACTTTGACATGCACAGATTCTTCAGGAATACGTGCTATTATTTTAAGCAGAGTTTTATATAAAGCCTTACATTTGCATTACAAGAATAGAACAAAATAATTGTAAAAAAAAAGAAATCTATTTTGAACAGCCTCAAGATGGCAGGCATGAGCTGTATGGGCATTTAGATATTATTCCATGCAGTATTTTTTGAAGGTCCTCAGTTTGTAAAATACAGGAGTCCTTCAATCAGTTTTGCCATGCAGAATGAAGCTCATAGTAAAGAAGCCCTTACTGATCTCCACTTCCATGAAACAGACAGTGACAATTATTATATAATGCTTTGCAATACAAGTTCTCTAAAACTGCTCACACTTTCATTGAAGAAATTAAGATTCCCTGCTTCCTTGAGATAATTCATCATGAACTGACATTTCTGGAATTGGTATTTGAAACCCACAGGAACTGTAATAATGACTATTCTGCTCATTCAATTAGCTACTTGCCACTGATTTTAAAATTCCAGCTGACAAATATGAAGTGATATTTCTTCTCACTGAAGGTCCATGGAAAGCCCAACTCAGTGGCAGTGCTTCAGCAAGCACAGATTGGTGATACTAGAGGGGGAAGAAGCTCTGCCTTTTCCCTTCAGAAAGAGCAGCTTCTTTGGAAACATTTAGGATTTGGTGAGGAATTGGAATATTTACACCCTCTAATGTGGAGCTCTGCACTGTAACAGTAAGAGAAGGCAAAGGGACATCTGAAAAGAGTGTGTTTCTATCATAATTTCACTACAATAAGGAAATTTGTGGATAAGGTGTGGACGGCACAAAGTCTGACTTGAACAATAAATACCTTCAAAAGGTTTCTGTCTGCTGAGGCTCTCCCAACACAGGATTCCAAAACTGAAAAAAAACCAAAAACAACAAAACAGTGAAAGACCATTCATTAGTTTGCAATCTGTATCCACGTTCTCAGTTTCAAAAGCAAGTTTATTGCTTTAACAGAAAGGAGTTTTTCAAGACAAAGTCTATCCAAGTCTTTTCTAATTCAATGAGACCTTTTTTCAGTTCTCAATTGAGTTGCTCTTACAAAATCATCAAGTTAAGGGGTTTTTATTCCTTAAATATAGGTTCAATTAGAATTACATTTCAGTTTACAGCCTTCTCTCCATTTGATGGGGCTCCAAATACCTTTTTCCTTTTCCAACATCCTAGAAGTAACTGCCGTGAAAATTAATTATGCTACCTGAAAGTAAGGCTTCACTCTTCCTGTGCAAAACTTGTGTTTGTGAACAACACGAAATTAGTCACATCATTTATAGGTCTCCTCAAGTGCATGCATATTTATCTCATCTTAGAGCCTGCCTCCATGCCAATAAAGCAGGAGTTTAAATTTGTAGGTTTCACAAAAGCTCAGAGATCAGAAGAGTGGTGTCCTTGAAAGTTATTTAAAGTATTAGTCCAGAGCTCTGTGTGCTGGCCGTGACAATGTGTGTCCCTCCAGACCAGTGGCACCCTGAGGTCCTCTCATTTACTGAGGCAGCCACAATGGATGTAAAATACCCAAAAGGGACATGTGGCAGTGAGTAATCTCCCTCCTTGGTATAAATCACTTTGTTAAAAAGTACAGGTGCTTGAGTGGCTCAGTAACTTATCCCAGCAGAGATTCCACAGGATCTTAATGGGACACTATTGAGGGAAAGGTCTTATTTTTACCTGGGCCTGATCTAGGCATAAATGACTCTTTCTGAAACTAAAGCCAACAACAGTTTGCACTTATCAACTATGCGAAGCAGTTATAAGGTTTTTAAATTTATCTGAAAGTTTTGCCAGCTTTTGCACTTTTAAAACACGTAGGTCCACTATATAAATATTTATATGACTGACTTTGAGAGCAGTTCTTAATCTTGGTATCTGGTTCACCAAATATGGAAATTTAAAATTTAATTCACTGCTCTAATTTGCCTTGTACCATACTATCCTACTGCATTATGTATACCTGGCATTTTTACTGTAATGTCTTTGAAGATAAGACAGTTTTGGCAGCATTGTAGAGTGGAGCATGGACTAGGTATGATGTGCCCTTAGAAACTCCATTCACCTGTAAATATCACCTTCCTGGGAAGGGAGCCCTCCTTCAAGTATTTCAGGAGGAAGATACACTAAATCCTGGCAGATTCTCTGCTGGCAGTTCTGCAGGTCTGACCTCAGCTGCTGTTTCCTCCAGTTGGTTAGGCCATAATCCGATATCTACGGAAATGTGAAGTAATTTTAGTAAAAATAAAACAAGTCTTGGTAATTAAGGTCAATATATACAACAATAGGACAATCACTAGATTCTATTTTAGTGGACTAAAAGTAGAAGCTCCCACCTTGGCTCTGTACTGCACATCCAAAAGCACGTTGGAAGGTTTCAGGCTGCAGTGGCAGAGAGCAGGTCCCAGGCTGTGAAGATGGTGCAGCCCTTCAGCCACATCCGACAGGATCCTTATGAGTAAGGCAAAGGGAAGCTCTGGGTACAGCTGATGCTAAGTAACACAGAACACAGGTTTTGGTACTTGAAATTCTTGCTATTCCCATTTTCTTTTGACAACGAACAGAACCACAAGACAGTGCAGAAACTGAAGAACAGATTGTGACTACTGTCCATAATTTACATGCTAATTGTTCTTTGATCTTGTAATTAATTTTATCACCTCAAAGATTGCATCTTTTATCTACCTCATGGATGAGGGAGTGGAGTGATCCATTGTTCATCCATTCAGTCACTATCCCCACAAGTCCATGGCACTGGTAAATCCCAAGGAAAGGCAGGAGACGTTCAGACTCACAGTGTCTGACATTTGCTATGTCCTGAAGTAGAAACTTCCACTCCCTGTAAAAAAAAACAAAAACAAGTTAGAGGCAGGTTAGACTGAAGGGAATTTCAGCAGGAGATGAGAGTGTAGGATGTAGAAATGAAAGAGAACCCTATGGTTGAGCACAAGCTGGTATTATTTTACCAATAAATCCAATATCATATAATCTTCAAAACAATTGTAAGAGCATGAAGCAGTCATAGTGTAGTATGTAGTATTTTTTCTAATATAAAATGAAAGACCTCTGGATGCTTTAAGATGAACATAAGAGCCCAGTTTGAAGCAGGATTGAAGTGTGAAAGCAGGAAAAAGCTGGAGTATATTAAATGCTAGATTAAGAATAAAGCAAAGATTTACCTTTACTGCTCCCAATAACTTGTATTCTTTTGCTATGAAAGACATCCACATTTGCAAGGAAATGATGTGTTTCCATGCACATCTCACTGCTGTGTAACCCTGCCATCCTTCCCTCCTTCTATTTTCCCTGCTCTCATCTGTGCATGCTGGTTTAGATTAAATTCAACTGAGGTCTCTTCAGGGACCTCTAGAAAAATAACACCTTAGCATTTGGTATTACTGATCCACGTTTGTAAACATTATTATTGTAGATTAATTATTGACTTCAGGATTAAGCTCTACTTTATGAAAAAACTGTAAAAAAAATAGAGCTTGTTTCTCAGTTCAACTGAGGTCTCTTCAGGGACCTCTAGAAAAATAACACCTTAGCACACTGGTATTACTGATCCAGGTCTGTAAACATTATTATTGTAGACTAATTACTGACTTCAGGATTAAGCTCTACTTCATAAAAAACTGTAAAAAAACCCATAGAGCTTGTTTCTCAATAAAATTGCCTCCAAGTTGCCTCTTGGCTGGTGAGGATTTCGAGGAATGGAGATGTGCTTAGGGATCAGGTGATGCTGGATGCAGGATTTGTTCTGGCCCTGCAGGTCTGTGCTGCCCACCTGTGTGGTGGGTTGGGCAGATAAGAGCCCTACCTGTCTGTGGTGTCCTGGCTGGTCAGCAGCTTCACAGAGATGGGAGTGCTCCAGGAAATATGAAAGGCTTTGAGAGCAAAGCCTGAGCCTGTCCTGGTCAAGGCAAAGCTTTCCAAATCTTCCTGGGCCACCACAGGTAATGGATTGGCCATTTCTTGATGGCTGGCTTGGGAGAAAAATGTGGCAGAAAAGAAAAAGGTTTTAAGAGGTTTTTTTGTCACAATTACCAAAGCACAGTGAAGTTGCACCGCCCCTTACTTCCCAAATAAATCCAACAGCCTTCCTTTCACCACTCCGTGTCAGACTTTCCTTACAAAGAGAGGAAAAAATGCACTAATTGCAAAGGAGTGTCTGGACCATAATTTGCCATCTGAAGCTGCAAGGTACTAATTATTTGCTCATTATTATTTCTATCTGATGCCTTTAAAATTGTTGACAGTATTTATAATATGAAATGTGATTTTAACGTGATACTGAATTATGTAGACAACAAAATAGCATCTTATAGATGCATATCAGGCAAATAATTTCTCCACTTCTCATAAAAAGGCAATTATTCAATAACTGATGTCAGCATGTTCTGCATCATTCTTGCATATCATGTTTAATACATCATATGTAAACGCAAAAGCAAAGAAAAAGGAAAATTTCCTGCTGTTGTGACCTGTCAGAATTCTGCTAAATGGAGTTGTGTCTTTGTAGCTGTCAGTAACTTGGGCAGTGCAGTGTCTGTGCAGGACCTCTCCAGGGCCAGATGCTCCTCTCAGACCCTTTGCATGGCAGCACACACAGATTAGAGACAACTTCTGCAAAGCCTCACTGTCTTACTGCATGAGTAACACCTCTAATTACATCTGTGAAGCTCCATTAGACTGGAGACAGCCAAAAAGCTGGAGTGGAAAAGGAGGAAAACATGCAATCTAAGCTAACAGATGGCATAAACCAGCTGGCACTGGTGAGGATTACTGCAGAGCAGTGGTCAGTGAGTCAGAACTCCTCAAGCTGGAATACTCCCTCTGGGGTCCAAGGGCTAGAAAAGGAAACAGTGAGGGAACTGAAGTAACTGTGGAGGATTGTTGAATGAGAATTGTGTCCTTTTACACGTGCTCTACAGAAAAGCTCCTGGGATGCAGAAGGTCTCAAAGGCCAGATAACTTTTTCTCCACAAGTAAAATAGAAACAAAAGCCTGAAGATAAATTTGCCTGTGATCTTGCTCCTAGTTCATGAATATTTTAATGTTGGTTAATCTCATTCTTGTTCTGCAGGCACATTCACTATATAAGTTCAGTTTTGCCCCTAACCACAATCAAATGCAAAAAGCAGCAGCTGATTTACCATTTAAGCTTTACCCATATTTGATTCTGGTAGGAAGGCACAGTTGAACTTTTTGCTTTTTTGCTAGATTATTGTAGTTTGAAAGCAATAACTATTAATCTCATTCTTGTTCTGCAGGCACATTCACTATATAAGTTCAGTTTTGCCTCTAACCACAATTAAATGCAAAAAGCAGCAGCTGATTTACCAGTTGAGATTTAACCATATTTGTTTCTGGTAGGAAAGCACAGTTTGCTTTTTTGTTAGATTATTGTAGTGTGAAAGCAGTAACTGCCTTGGGTGCTTCTCTGAAGTTTTCTTAAAGAAGAGATGAGGCTGACAGGTCAACAATTTCATAAAATTTGAAAAGGTTCCTCGGAAGGAAGATAATTTTCTAAATGAGCGATTTATTCCTTAAAGTTACAAAGACAGACCTCACAAATCTACCAATCCTGAATGTAAAGGAGGTAATCAAAATGCTGGCAGAAGCAAAATTATGTCTCATTTTTATTCTATACATCAATAAGTAATAATTTAAATAGCAAAAAAAGTTTACTCAGCTCCAACCATAGTGCAAGGAAGAGCAAATAATGGTTTTACCACCTCAACCATACATGAAAGTATTCATTTTTATTTAAAATTGAATAAAATAATAATATAAGCATTTTTTAAACTCTGGCTACTAAGACAAAATTAAAGCTAATCATCGCCTCCTATACTGGATTTGCAAAATCTAATAAAAACTGGAGATTTTTGTAAAGTCAAAACAGAAACCACTTCAGTCTTTGCTGTTACAAACCATGTCATGACCATTCTCCCTCTGAGTTTCTACATCTTTGTATTGAAAGGTACCGAGACATTCTTTCAATAATTCTGCTCTTTTGAATGTTTTTTCTCCCATACCTATTAAAAATCTCATTATCAACATTCCAGAGGTCACATATGTGAGGAAACCGTTTGCTTTATTTTTTACTAAGACACTGAAAGTCCCTGATAACTTTGGCATCCTTGCCCAGCTGTTCAGGCAGAGGCATGAAGAAGACTGCTATAAAACCATTTATGTCAAGTTTCTAATTATAAGGTAATTTTTAAAAATTAACTCATAGCAAAGACATTTCCTTACTATGAGAGAAAATACGTTAATATACAGATGTCTCAGGGAAAGAAACTGGAAATAAAAATCAACTTACCTCTGGAAACACAAACACACAACTGTGGAATGGAGTGAAACTGCTGCGATACCAAGTGTGAGCCGGCTCACTGCATTCAAAAGCAGCTGCAGATTTCCTGCCGGTGAGTCAGCTGGGCTGTGATCTCTGCTTTATTGGCTGCCTGCAAACACTCAACATTTCCTGCTCAGATACACAAACTGTAACTCTTCAGTGACTGCAGATAGGAGCGATTACAGAGACAGAGGTTGGACAGCTGCTTCTTCCACGTTGAGGAATACCAAGAGGGAAAGATATATAACAATAACAATAACTGGATACAGCCCAGGTGTAACTCTTCAGTGACTGCAGATAGGAGCGATTACAGAGACAGAGGTTGGACAGCTGCTTCTTCCACATCAAGGAATAACAAGAAGGAAAGGTATATAACAATATAAAATACCATACTGGATACAGCCCAGCTACAGAATTATGTGGAGCTGTGCTCAGACTGCACAGCTGATACCGATCTCTGCAGTGGGTCAAGCTGGCAGCACAAGTTAAAAACTCTGTAAACTTTTTAAGCCAAGTTGACCTTAAAACAGGAAACAAATGCTGGGTTTCTGGTAGGAGAGTGGGCAGGCAGGCCCAGGGTGATGTTGTGTTGCACAGAAGGCAGGTTCAATGGGCTGTCAAACAGCCCTCCTGAAGAGGATGTAGGGGTTGGGGTGAAAGTCAAGCTGGTCATGAGCCAGGAGTGTGCTCTTATTACAAAAGGAGAAAATTACATGCTGGGCTGCCTTAGAAATGCAGTCAGGAAAGTGAGATAAGTCAGGTGCCTCAGTGCCCAGAAATGGTGAGGCTGCTGCTGAAATACTGAAATCAGCTGTAGGGCCCTCAGTTCAAAGAAAATGTTGACAAACTGGAGAGGACACAGTGCACAGCTACCAAGAGGGGCCCTGGGGCACATACCTGAGCACAGAGGCTCAGAGAGCTGGCAGAGGCAGCAGGCTGAGGAGCTATCAGAGTCCTACAGCTATCTGAAAGCCAGCTATTTATGAGGACAGAGATATTCTTCTCCATAGTGGCAGATAACCACCAGTGGCATAGGCAGGTGTCTCTACTTCAGAGGCTCCAGCCAGATGGTAGAAAAAAATTCACCATGTGAGTAATGCAGTTCTTTATGAGCCACTCAGGTTTCAGAGCCTCCATCCTTTAAAGGTCCTGACTTAGCTAAACAAAACCATGGCTGAGCTGAGCCAGCACTGCCAGCATTCCCGCCTTTAGCAGGAGGCTGGGCTAGAAAGTGACAAAATCTCTGCATACCTTTAATTTTGTGAATCCTTACAGGGCCTAATTGTGCTCCTGCTAGGCCCCCAGCATACCCATTCCCACTGAAGGCTGATGGTTCTGCTGGATGCAAGGTGGAAACTCGGAGAGAGAGCAGTTGTTTCAGCTGATCTCATTTCATGCAAATTCCTCTATTTATAGAGTCTGACTTAAAACCAGTGTCAGTCAGTGAGATTCTGTCCACAGACTTCTGTTGGTTTTGGACCGAATCCTAACCCCCCCTCTCCCAGGGAGGGAAGGAGCCGTGAGGCGCTTAGCTAACCCTCCTGTGATCACAGGAAAGTCCCTTGTGGCATGAAATCATGTGGCCAGGGCTGTGTGGCCTGCCAGGAAGGACGCTCTGAGCGAGTGGGAAGTTCACAGTGTGCTTCTGCTGACCGTGGAGCTCTGCCCAGCGCCAGCTTGCTCTGCCAGCACACCCTCCCAAAGGGAGATTCAGTATGAGCGAGCAGGAGCTGTGAAGGTGAGAAAAGTGGCCTGGAACAATCCTAGAGAAGGCTGGAAGCATGGCACAGGAGCCTCCTCCCCTTGGCTTTGATTTATCAACAGCACATTAATTTTTGCCCATATTCGATACTTCTGTGGAAAGTACATTAAAAATGTTTTCCTCATTATAAAGTGGTTGCCTGTCTGACTCAGACTGTGCTGCAGGAGAATCACAAACTCTTCAAAATCCAGTCAGCTAATTAAAGAAAGTTCTTCAGAGGAGCTTTGTAGATAAATTTGAAAGACTTAATTTTACAGAAATTCTTTGAAACCTAAAGTATTTTTAGGTACTTCTGTATTTTTAGAATATCATGTGATGGGGAAACAAAGTACTGGAACAATCCCACATTTGTTTACTCCTTTTGACCATTGTTTTCAGCTTAAAAAAACCTTAGTATAAAACCAGAAAGCTTAATTTTAATCCATATGTGAAGAAAGCAGAAATTTACAGGCCAATTTGCAGTGCAGGTCTGAGCTAATTAAACATCATTGTTAACTGAATGTGTTAATTTAAAAAAAAATCAGTACTTCACCTAAATATAATTTATCCAGAAAAATTTAAAGCTTCTCACATAATATGAACACTTATAAACAATGGGCAAGGAAATCCTCTACAGGCTCCCACAAGGTAGAAATGTCTTGTGCAGTGCCATGAACCTAAAAAAAATCCCTGAGATCAGTTTTTATTCTGTTCAGAAGACCAACAAAACTGGACCTCATATTGTCAAAGAATGAGCAGTTAAAAACCATCATATTCATTTATTTGCCTTTCAAACTATCCAAATAAGGTCTTTTAAAGCCTAACTATAATGCAAGAAGAACTAGAATTTTCACTTTTTTAATGCAGACTTTTTTTGGTGACTCACTCACATACTAAGAGAGTTCATAGAGACCATAAATGCGTTCTTAACAACACCTTAGCATCCTGAAAGCAGGAATAATAGTGATACCTGAAGAGTAACAGTTTAAAACACAAATAGTTTATAAGTCTTCCCCTCATAAAAGTCACAAAGAGTGGGCCCAGTTACAATCAAATTTAGAACAAAATGAGGGTTTTACAAGCAGCAGCATTAAAGGGCCATGGCATAAGACAAAGCACAAATAGAGTGAGTGTGTACAGTGAAAGAATGACACAGGACAGAAGACTGAAGCATTGAGATGACCCAAATACCAAAGCCTCTGATGCACATTCAGTAAACACTACACTTGGATACTTCAGAAGAGTTCCCAGCATCATTTCTCAATCTGGCTATTCCAGTTGAGCACCTGGGCAGGATAACCTTTGGCACAGAGTGTTCTGAGGTGCTGTTTTCTTTGGCATCTTGTCTATTTCAGGAGGACTTAAAAGAAGATAATGTTAAAATGCTGTAGGTTTGAGATTTGCAGGATTCAAATGCTATGTAGTTCAGTTTTATAAAGGCTGGGCTGTTGTGCATGAGTGCAGCCAATGATTTAATCATCTTGCTCTGGAAGACAGAACTACAAACAGGCACAACGCTCACTCACTGTGATGGGATACTTTAAGATACAAAATATTATGGTGTCCTTTTCCATTTCATGGATTTGCAGTTGAACTGAGGCCTCCTTTTCTATTTTGTTTGTTTTGTTAAAAAAACCTGTTTCTTCAAATGCCCATACCATGGTATTTTGGGAAATATTCACAACATTCATTATGCCATTAATGAGATGACTAAAAAGTTACCACAAACAAAAGTTACCACAAACAAAAGTTACCACAGCTTCTGGCCTTAGGCAATTTCCATAAAGTGAGTAGCGTCAAGCACCTCTGCTAGTTAAATTCTACCAAATAATTTTATTGATTCATTACCCAATTATTTATACAGTGAAACCTTAAACAGGTATGATGTAACAATTCATGTAAATTGGAACATGATGAAGAACTCCTAGACTGCAGAGAGCTTAGGGACCATACTTGTTCCAAGTGCCCTAGTCCTCATCCCAAGCAGCTGTGATCTGTTTTGGAACACCATGTCCTAAAGAGTGTTAAGACAGGGTGGAGGAATGCTAAACCTCCAGGTCTGTCAATTATGTACCTGCAGATAAGTAGTTCTAGTGAGCTAATGATGAAATAAATGTCAGAGGCCTGCATTGTGCGACCTTGCTGTGAATGTGTGGCTTTAATCAACACCTTTCAAAGCCCTCACACACACCAAGCAAAACCCAAGCTCTTCTAGGCAAAGACTTGGTGAACACTCCCTTGGGCTCGCTCCCTAGGGATGCCTGTCCCAGGGTGAGGAATACTGCAGCCATATTCAGCAATCCCCAGAAGAAGTCTTTCCTCTAGGACAGCATAACACGAATATATTTTCCAATGCCATGCCTGTCCCCTGGATTTTTCCAGCAGAAAGTGGGCAACATTTTAATTGGCTTGATTCTGAGTGTCGCCTTTTCTCTACCTGGGAATTCTGGAGTGTGAAAATATGCATCTGGGCACAAATTGTCAACAACAACTTTTTTAAAAGTCTGACCTTGACCAAATTCTGTCTTTCAGTTGCAAGGCTGATTTGGTTTTTGGAGATTTTTTTGTTTGTTTGGGTTTTTTTTAAAGTTGCAACAACATGTAGATTAAAAGCATCTGAAACATACAGATTGCTACCAATTTCCTGTAAGTGTTGGTATAATCAAGCCTGCTTGGAGGCCACTTGAATGGAGTGCCATGGAAGAAAGACTTCTGAATGGCTGCAGTAAACATCAGTGGGCTTTCAGTCATCTAGGAAAACACTCTGCTTAAGATGAAATATATTCTTTGAATTTGGTCATTAGCATACTGAACTGGAATGAAGAACACTGCCAGAGAAGAAAACTTCATTCTCTGCTGTGGAAAGCAGCCAACTGACACAGAAGACATAAAAAGTGGACAATTTACCTTGGTTTCCCAACATTTTTCCCACCACCAGTTGTATAACCCTTTACAGACCAAAAGAGCCTTTCTCAACCTTAAAAATTTTACCTGGGCTAGAATCCAGCATGAGTGAAGAGACATGAATCCAGCATGAGTGATGTGACGAGACAGCACCTAAAAAAAAAGTTCTGCTTATGGAACCTCAATACAGTTCAAAAATTATTAATAAAGTACTTCTAACAGATCTTGCAGTAATCAAGAGGCTAAGTTTCAGCTTTCATTTGGAGGTTGCCAAATCAAAACCATCTGAAACTCTATTCATTACAGACCCAAAACTTTGGAAGACAATGAAAAGAACACAAGGCATTGTTTATTACACATGGTTCCATCAACTGCATATTCGTTTGAATGGCTGAGTTTTTGAATGTTTGAGCTGGTAACATTGCAAACAAGGTTCCTCAGAGGAGGGTGAACATTGCAGTTCTTTGATTTCTGCCTGGCACTTACTTCCAGTACATTTTTTCATGGCTCAGTCCGTGGAGATCACTGTCACTTCTCCTGTGGAAGTGATGAGAGAACAGGGACACACACAGCAGGAGGGACAACAGGCAGTGTCCAAGCAGGCTGGAGAGCCCAGTGCTGTGTGCCCCGTGCTGCTCTGTGCTGGCTTTCTTCGGAAGGCACCATTTCATCTGTAGCAAAGACACTGGAGCCAAAATATACTAGTAGTCCTATAGTTTGAGAAAATGTTGCAGTAATGCAGCATTATCTTTTGGGATTGATATTTTGACTCTTTTAACGTGATCAGTCCATTTTAATACAGGCAACCAGAGGTCACTGAAAAGTAAACAGTTCTAATAATATCGCTGGAGGTACTTTTTTGACTTTTGCATTTTAAAGCTGAAAATAGCAGTGTGGCATGAGTCAGAATAGCCTCTACTGGGTGGACTTTGTTCTAGTGTGTTCTTTCCAGGAAGTGGCAACAAAAATAAATGACCTGTTGCAAATTTCCCGATTGTACTGCAAGATACAAAAAAAGCCCCGGGGCTTATCCATGTCCTCAAGTGACATATATTCCCATTTCCTCTCAGCTGCAGTGGCACAGGAAAGCAGGTAGCAAAACAGGCAGCTCCATGGCAGACGTTGCAAAGGAAACATTTTTAATTCATGCAAAAGCTGATAACCCCTCACACTGGCAAGCCTGGGGAAAAGCCCGTGGTTGTCCCAGGTTACACAAATGCCAGCTGTAGGCTCAGGTCCTTGATTCTGAGGAACAACTGGCATTAAGTATATTTGCACATCTCCAGGGCATGTTTTCCTCTTAAAGCAAAATACAGCAGCAGACATTTGGCAGTGTGTACACCAAACTCAGAGGCTCTCTGGATTAATAGGGGTGTGCTGCCCCTCAGAAGCAGCTCAGGAGAATGAAGGAAGGCACAAACAGAAGTCAGTGAAGGTCAGAGGGGAATGTCCAGTGCCACAGCCCAGAGGGTGTGGGAATATCCCTGGGCACCAGTACATGCTTGGGAATATCCCTGGGCACCAGTCCATGCTGGCAACAACCAGGTGGAAAGGAGCCCCGCAGGAGAGAACTTTGGGGTGGGAAGCAGCTGAATGTGAGCAGCAAGGAGCCTTTGTGGCAGATGATGACAGCCATCCCGGGCTGTGTTCAGAAAAACACTGCCAGTCAGTCAAGAGAGATCTTGCTCAGCGCTGGTGAGA